ATACAAGCTCTCTATAAAACAAACAAAACAAGCACTTGCAAATTAATAATAATTATTTTAAAGATGCATATTATACATACACTTTTTTAATTATTTTTATTGCATTTAATATATTATACTTTCAAGAAAGCATTTGCATTGGGTTTGTAAAAGCTGTTTTTATGCATGTTTTAGCCTGAGTTTTTGTTACACAGTTTTGACCAGCAGGCGTCACCAGCATGTGGTGTTTCGAGCGCTTTGAAACAGTGAATCGAATTGATTCGAAGCTTTGAAATGGATCGTTTCTCCCATCACTATGCTACACTAGTGACAATGGACCTTTTTTGCCCACAAAATGTAGCTGAAATTTCAGTAATACAGTATGACTGCACTTAAGGCAGTATAATTTTGCTGCTTACATTTTGAACAAGTCTTCATAACAGAAGTCTAGGCAGCTAACTAGGTTTTGGTACAGAGCTAATGACAGTTCAAGCCCCTAAAAACAAATTATAAAGAGAAATATCTCCACACTTGTAAAACATATGGACTTTTACCTTTGGCATATTGCAGAGGTAGCGCAGTGTTTCACCAATGTACTGCATCACAGTTATGTTGTACTTCCTACAGTCATCCCAGAACTGAGAGGCAGAAAACTTTCTCCGCAGAACCACAGTGTTTCCTGGAGAAAATATTAAGATGTAAGCAGCACTATATAAAACCACCAGACAAGAATTTCTAAATAGAAAAAGTAGCGTACAATATAATCCATTATACCTCTTTCAATGGATCCAACAAGTCCGATGAGGAACCCGGCGCTGTGATACAGAGGCAGATTGATGTAGAATATGTCTTTAGACGTCACTCCACACACACCCTGGATGAACGACGAAGCCCAGACTCTCTCATGGGTCACATACGCTGCTTTAGGAAGACCTCCATAGACCAAAATACCAATGTTATTTAGGGATCCATATTATATGACTCCTTAAGTGCTGTATATATATATATATATATATATATTGTGACTATACACTGCTGTTCAAGTTTGGGATCAGTAAGATTTTTATTACTTTATAAAGAAGTCTTATGCTCATCAAGGCTGCATTTCTTTGATCAAAAATACAGAAAAAAACTGTAATATTGTGGAATATTATTAGAATTTAAAATAACAGTGTTCTATTTTAATATACTTCAAAATATAATTTATTGCTATGATCAAAACTAAATTTTCAGCATCATTACTCCAGTCCTTCAGAAATCATACTAATATACTGATTTATTATCAATGTTAGAAACAGTTGTGCTGCTTCATATTTTTTTGGAACCCGTGATACTTTTTTCAGGATTCTTTGATGAATAAAAAGTTAAAAAGAGCAGCATTTATTCAAAATAGAAATTTTGTAACAATATACACTACAGTTCAAAAGTTTGGGGTCAGCAAACTTTTTTTCTTTCTTTCTGTTTTTTTTGAAAGAAATTAATACTTTTATTCAGCAAGGATGTGTAAAATTGATAAAAAGTTACAGTACAGACATTGTTACAAAATGTTTCTATTTTTTATAAATGCTGTTCTTTTTAACTTTTTATTCACCAAAAAATCCTGAAAAAATTATCACAGGTTCCATATATAGTATATTAAAATAGAACAGAGTTATTTTAAATTGTAATAATATTTCACGATATTACTGTTTTTTTCTGTATTTTTGATTCTTCTTTAAAAAGTAGGCTAATAAAAATCTTACTGATCCCAAACTTTTGAACGGCAGTGTATATTTAGCATTAGCAGTATTGGCCTGCTTTGATATGCTATTCAATGTAATATAACAATAAATTTTACATAATCCACTAAATGTGGCCTTGTCAATTACCTGTAGTGCCAGAAGTGTAGATATATAGTGCTGTAGTCCTGATATGGATGTTGGACCTGAGAGACGGGGACAGCGGCTTATCTGAAGCTTTGGCAATGGCTTGACCGATACACTGAATGCCGTCTGTAGTGCACTCATCTGACAGGAGGTATACAGTTATCCCCTTCTCTTTCAGTGCCGGCAATATCTCCTCAACAGCATCACAAAGCTCTGCGAGAGTAACACTTCACTGCAAAACTCTCCAGAAACTGACACACATGTAAGTGTTACAAGCTGATTGTGCATAGATAAGATCCCTGAAGTTGCAAAGACTAAAGTCTCAAAACCAAAGAGATATTATTTATCAAAGTTAAGACTCTGCCACGCCCCCCTAAAACGGCTCGTTCTAACACGCCCCCACATATCTACTACCTCTCTTTCAGAAACGGGCTTGACTTACCCTGCTTTCTCGGGTTTGACAAACCCCCCAAATCTGTAACGGAAAACCCAGAGTTTCCCTCATTTCGGGGTTAACATACTCGGAGTTAACTTTAACCTCCTTTCTGAAACGGGCCTCTGGTCATATCGCTGCGCGCAAGAACTATATCTTGTAGCGGAAGGATGCCAGTTAATCAATTTACTAATTAACATGCTTTTTTATTATTAAATTTTTATATTTTTACCCTCAATATTTTTATATGTAGTAACCTTTCATATAAGAAATAATATAGCTGAAACCCTGATAGATGTAACGAATATAGTCAGTAATTAGAACGCTGCACCTAACAACACCCGTTTTAATAGTGACTATATTCGTAATATAGCCTAATCCGACCTCTTCTACTATATTGCGTAAGTGACTATCTTTTGACAGTCCCACTTTTAAAAGTCATAATTTCTGTTTTACATGTTTAAGAAAGCAAAGTATTTATCAAAAGTAGGCACGCATGTAGAAAATGGTTGGAAATGAGTGCAAAGGCCTCACAGCATGACATTCCGCTGCTACAGTAGCTGCTGTTCGTGGATAGTAACTCTACTGACTGACAGTGCGTATAGATCTCACCGGCAGCTGCTACAAGCACGCTTGCGCCGCAGCAGGAGAAGCAGTGAAGCAGTGATTTGGATCTGATGTTGAAGTTCAGGAGTGCTGCGGGACAGCCGAGCTTAGCCAGGCCGAGCCAGGTCCACACGAAGCGGGGCTCGTTGCCCAGGAACAGCGCGACCGTGTCTCCTTCTCTGAGCCCAGCCTCCGAGCGCAGCGCATTCGCTACTTTGTTACTCTCCTTATCCACCTCCTCATAAGAGTAAGTCTTCCCCTCGAAATGAATGAACACTTTTCGCGGGTGTTTCTTCACCGCGTCCAAAAAGCAGTCCACAATACTATAGAACGGAGTTTTCCTTTTGTAAACAATTAATCGGATCCCGCATCCAAGAGCCCTGTACATATACACGCAGTCCTGGAAAAAATATGGGAAGAAAGTTGTCAGCAGCGCGGGGAGAAGAGCCAAGCCCGCGAGGAGAGTGATCCACACATACATGTTTCCTAGAGTTTGGAAAACACAAGGGTTTTGAGATTAACTATATGCCATAGCCTGACACCACTTCCACAGTCTTAAAATTCATGGGCCACATTCTCGAAATACAAGTTCAACCCTTTTGGGGCTCCAGAGAGAGATTATATCATTCTGATCAACCCCCGACTCAAGAGCCTCGTCGGGTTGCCAGATCCTACATCAAAGCGGTGCCCTGTTTACACACGCTTTTAATATGAGAAACCATGGCTGTCAGTTCATTCAAATAATTAACTGTGATTTGTGGTTAAGTTGTAGGTTTTGAACATTTTTAAGGGAAATTATGCTGAATTTGTTTCTGCAGACATTGCTTGTAATTTAATATTTGTGTGTGTGTACAAATTGCTTGTTGCTAGAATATTTACCAGTTACATCTGGTAAACGTCTGTTAAGAGTATTATCTTCCAATCAAAGATTTTAGATTTGTTGACAATTGTGTTTAGGGGACAAATTAAAATTTTGTTAGTTTCTTTGTTGCTACGGTTGTACACTAAACTCAACTCAGATTTTAAATAAAATTAAAAAACATATTTTGAGCTCCTCGGTTTACAGTAGTTAAGCACTGAGGAGAAAAAAAGTCTTTATTGTGTGTTCATGTTTAATTCCATGCAGTGGCACTAAATAATTATATATTAGTTAGATCATCATATTATAGAAACGTATTATGTGAGCTGATATTCAAATTATTTAAAGACTTCTTTCTATTTAAACAACTTCTGTGGGAATTTATGGAGCATTTCTTATTAATTTCAATATTTCATGTTCAAATACTCTCTAACTATTGATATTAAACATAATAAAATCAAATATTGTATTAATTAATACTGACAATTACATTTAAAATGTCACAACATTAACTTTGTAAAAAATTATTATTTGTAATTACATTTTCCACTCAAATTGTTATATATATATTAAAAAAAGAAGATATTTAGTGCAGGAGTATTTTAAACTCACAATATGGCAACCCTCATCCAATTCAGCCTTTGAGACATGAGCAAGTGGGAGGGTTTCTCTGGGAACCAATCATCTTACAGCAAACTCTTACGAAATTATTTGTTCGCTGCAGACTACAGGGGAAAGAGAGTATCAAATTCTTAGAGAGACTTTTCAGACTGACAATCAAGTACTTTTAATTTTTTTAATTGTCTTTTTAAACAATATTGCCAAACAATAGTATGATTAAAAAAAAAAAAAACTTGTGAAAGGATCTTATTTAGAAAATATTTTTTTACACCATCATTTGTTGAATTTACAATTGTCTTTGGTATGGACAATATATATATGCACATACATTGTTTGTGTTATTTGTGATCTCTGGACAGTTATTATCTTGTAAGTGTACATTTAAAATCAGGAGTCTGAACAAATAAAAGATCAGATTTTTTCATTATAAATTATAACAAAGAATACTGCTCTTCACAATCTGAAGCAACCGTCCAGTATCGACTGATATGTGTCATGTGTCAGAGGTCTGTAGCTTTTCAGCGTCTCATCTAAAACAAACAGAAGGTCCGTGATTACAGCAGGGTTGAAGCCCTCCTCTACCAGCTTCCCCTTCAGCTGTTTGAAGGTGCAAGTCACATCCAAACAATCCTGTAATGAGAAATCCTTTCACTTATTTGAGAAATATGAAAAAGTACATAAATATTTTGATACTACCAAGGGATCATGCATTCAGAAAGAGCATTAGGACGTTACCTGAATCCTTATGAAACGTGGTCTGGCATAAGAGGGTCATAATTTAGTAAGTGGTCACATGACTAAAAATGACTTCGGGCTCAAACTGATGGTCTTTCTTTAGTGTGATGGTAGCCATTCCTGTCCTCCCCTCATACCCTTCAAATTCAAAAAAATATCAACAGCGCCACTAATATGGGTGAGAATATCAACTGGATGGTTTTAAAGGGATAGTGAGGTAAGTGGTCACATGACTAAAAATGACTTCGGGCTCAAACTGATGGTCTTTCTTTAGTGTGATGGTAGCCATTCCTGTCCTCCCCTCATACCCTTCAAATTCAAAAAAATATCAACAGCGCCACTAATATGGGTGAGAATATCAACTGGATGGTTTTAAAGGGATAGTTAACCCAAAAATGAAAATTTGCTGAAACTCACCCCAAGGCCATTCAAGATGCAGATGAGTTTGTTTCCTTATCTCAACCTAGAGATTCTGAGAAATGTAGCATTACATCACTTGCTCACAAATGGATCATCTGCAGTGAATGGGTGCCGTCAGAATGAGAATCCAAACAGCTGATAAAAACATCACAATAATCCACAAGTAATACTAGTCTATAATCCCTAATAACGCTTCCTCCAGTAAAAAAGTCCATCCACTGTTGTCCTCTAACATCATAATCCACCCACATATTTGTTTAGATCTGTTTTGGACTGTTTTCACTTGTAAACGGTGCTTGATCTGTGCATATTCATCTCCTGATTCAGACAAGACGACTTTTTCACTGGAGGAAGCAATATTATGGATAGAGGAATTTGTTTCTTACAAACACGCAGCTTTTTGCTTCACAAGACATTAACTGATGGACTGGAGTGGTGAGGATTACTTGTGGATTATTGTGATGTTTGGACTCTCATTCTGACGGCACCCATTCACTGCAGAGGATCCACTGATGAACAAGTGATGTAATGCTACATTTCTCCAAATCTGTTCCCACGAAGAATCAAACTTATCTACATCTTGGATGTTCTGAGGATGAGTAAATGTTCAGCTAATTGAAATTTCTGTATGGAACTGTTTTAAAAGGAGTAAAATAGCAAAGAACCTGAAACTGTAACTCCGTATGTGTTTGCTTCCTCAATACTCGTTGCCATAGTCAGGATGTCAGACACTTCATTTGTGGAAACATTTTCCCCTTTCCACCTGAGATGAAGAGGACGATGCATTTAAGATTTGGCTATTTGATTGTAATGTTAAAGCTGTAACTTCTGCTTTAAAGTAGAGCAATAGGGCTGGCCAATTCCAAAAGTTTTGGAATCAACTTCGATTCTGATTCCTGGTTCTGGAATTGACTCTGGAATCAATGTGGTTTTCAAATCTTTTATTGATTTATTTGTAACATTAGAGGAACATATGAACAAGTGATGTAATGCTACATTTCTCCAAATCTGTTCCCACGAAGAATCAAACTCATCTACATCTTGGATGTTCTGAGGATAAGTAAATGTTCAGCTAATTGAAATTTCTGTATGGAACTGTTTTACAAGGAGTAAAATAGCAATGAACCTGAAACTGTAACTCCGTATGTGTTTGCTTCCTCAATACTCGTTGCCATAGTCAGGATGTCAGACACTTCATTTGTGGAAACATTTTCCCCTTTCCACCTGAGATGAAGAGGACCATGCATTTAAGATTTGGCTATTTGATTGTAATGTTAAAGCTGTAACTTCTGCTTTAAAGTAGAGCAATAGGGCTGGCCAATTCCAAAAGTTTTGGAATCAACTTCGATTCTGATTCCTGGTTCTGGAATTGACTCTGGAATCAATGTGGTTTTCAAATCTTTTATTGATTTATTTGTAACATTAGAGGAACATGTTCACTAAATCTTGCTCTGGCTACATGATAAACTGTAATGGCTTACATCCTTATTGTATTCATCCTAATATTCACTGATTATTAGACACCTAGAACAAATGTGTTTGTGCATCAGTGTCTGTGTTGCATGTTTTATTTCATTGTAGGAGACCGAATTGAATTGGACTTCTCATCAGTATAGTGAGCAACTGAGAGGCATATTAATGATTAGCTCTGTTGAACTATTAAAGAGGAGTCAAATCCCTTTGATGGAATCGATTCTAACCTTTGGAATTTAAATGAAATGCAACCTTTCCCAATGCCTTAAAATCGATTAATTTTGGAATCGATTCCCAGCCCTATAGAACAACATTTTTAATGGCATTTTTTCACCTAAAAGTGTCGCCCACCCGATCCTGGAAGTAGATGAAGTTTTCGTGGTCTGTCCTGAACAGATCTCCAGAGTTGAAGTAAACATTGCCCTTCTCAAACACACTGTAGAGTTTCTTCTTCTCGGTCTGTTTGGGATCCCTGGCATATCCAGCAAATTGGGCCTTCTGGGTAATCTTTGATACTAGTAGGCCTGTCTCACCTGTATAACAGTCAATGACACATTAATGACATTCTTCAAAGTAAAAAGCAAACAATTTTGCTTTATTAATCTATTTTATGCATACAAACATGCTTCCACAGAAGAACATTTTACTTGCCTTTAGCTACTTCTATGCAAAATCCATCTGCGTTTCTCACAGGCTCCTCTCGTTCTTGGTCAAACTTAACTAATGCATATGGATAGAGTTTCTGAAACAACATTAAAATGTTCAGACAATTTCAAGATTTTAGAACAGCTCTCATTTCTCTACTTCTGATTTCTCTAACTTGATGAATTGCGAATAAAAGAGTAACGACCACATTCAGAGTAAATCTACCTTATGAAAAAAATTCACTCTACCAATGGCCCCGATTTTCCCAGCGTAGTTCAAAAAGCCCAAGGTTCCTTCGGTTGAGCCGTAAAACTCTTTGATGTCAACATTGCCGAATCTGCTTATGAACGTCCTCCACACCTCTGGTCTGATCCCGTTCCCTAGGGCCATTCTAACGTTGTGTACTTGGTCGCTAACACGCTTGTAAGGACGAGAGAACAAAGATGAGAAAACAGCCTAATATGTACGGCAAACAGAGCAGTGCAGACAGTGGAGTGGAGTGTGGGGTAAAATGTGTCACCAACAAAACTGTGCATTCATATACAGCTGCCTGTGATTGAGAAGATTATATAAGAATGCATTACAACAACAAAAAAGTTAATGTTGTCACGTTTTTGTCATGTCACATTTCTCAAAAACTTACCTGTGTGCCAGATGCCTCAGGTAAATTGTTATAGTAGTGACAGTCTTTATTGGATCCAAATGTTGTTGTTTAGCCCAATAAAGGATCTTTATTCTTTTCTCTCATGAATTTAACATGAAATAATATACTACAATAAAATATTTTAAATCATATAAACAACTAATTTGAGTTAATATTTTTATTTGATGTAAACTGTTCACATATTCCAGGTGATAATGATTTAACATACACTACTGTTAACTTTTTCTTTACTCTATGGCCAGAGGGCAACTTCAAAAGACTGGCTCAGCTTACCCCACATCAGAGGGCAACAACACAACCTTCTTTTCAAAGTACAGTAGATGACAAAAAAAGAAGAATAATAATAATAAAAGACGAAGATTCGGTGGTTTGCTGTTTGGCTTCTTAAAATGTTCAAATACCTTTGGTGTATTGCAGAGGTAGCGCATTGTTTCTCCAATATACTGTATCACAGTCACATTATATTTTCTGCAGTCATCCCAGAACTGAGAGGAAGAAAACTTGCTCTTCAGGACAACAGTGGCTCCTGAATACAAAACAAACCAAAGCATAAAACAAAAGGGAAAAACCTAAAACCCATGAAAGCATGTACACACGCATAAAAAAAGCAAAGCAAAACAAAATGAAAGTCAGCATCCATGAAAGCACATGCAAAACAAATCAACATCCATTAAAGCATGTACAAATACACTAGTGCTGTCAAACGATTAATCACATCCAAAATAAAAGTTTTTGTTTACATAATATGAGTGTGTACTGTGTATATTTATTATGTATATATCAATACAAACACATGCATGTATATATATTTTTTTTTAAGTTTTGTTTATATATTAAATAATTTAAGGGGGTCTGAATACTTTCCGTACCCACTGTACATATATTATGTAAACAAAAACTTTTATTTTGGTAGCGATTAATCGCGATTAATCGTTTTGACAGCTCTAAAATACACAAAACAAAACACATTTTTTTGGATTACCAACACAAAATACAAAAGAAAAAAAAAGTCACACCTCTTTCAATAGCACCGCCGAATCCAACAGCAAAGCCGGCACTGTGATACAAGGGAAGGCAGATGTACACCACATCATCAGACTTCACACCACAAATGGAAAAAAGGGAGGCTATGGCCCACAACCTCAGCTGAGCAATCACTGCTGCCTTAGGAAGACCTGCAGGGGACACGGCTCATGAAATCCACGGCTTCACTCGCTTATTAATTACAGATTTGTCATTTTGCTGACACTTCTATTTATTCTCTCTAGTGCAAAATCATCTTCAGTCAAAAATAGAGTACAATAATGCATCAGTCACTGAATTCTATCCTACCTGTCGTGCCTGACGTGTAGATGTACGCCGCTGGGCTGCTCATTGTGATGTTGGCCCTCAGGTCTGCAGGAATAGGCTCATCTGAGGCTTGTGTGATCTTGTCTGTAAGACTCTCCATTCCCTCAGTGGTCACATGGTCAGTCAGTATATAGACCGAGATTCCCTGCTCTCTCAGAGCGGGCAGCACCTCCTCAACAGCATCCTGCAGTTCTACATGAGGGGTTTTCATTACATTAGGTGTGCATTACACAATTTTAATGCACAGCTTGGAGGCAAAGAATGATGGAAGCATGTATCTGCCATGGGATAAATTAAAAAAGGTCATTGTGACTTTTTTATCTCACAATTCTGTCTTTTTTTCTCACAATTCTGAGTTTATATCTCACAGTTCAGACTTTTTTATTTATTTTTAATTGCAAGAATAAGTCAGAATTGTGAAATACAAACTCAGAATTGCGTGATGTTAATTCACAATTGCGGGAAAAGTCTGAATTGTGAGCTATAAATTCACAACTGCGAGAAATACAGTGAGAATTGCGAGAAATAAACGTTCAATTCTGAAATAAAAATAGAATTGCAAGATAGATTTTAAAATAACTTACAATTGAGTTGCCAGATGTTAACTTGCAATTGCGAGATATAAACGTGCAATTCTGAAAAAATAAAATAAAAATTAGAATTACGACATAAGTTTTTATTTTTTATTATGTGGCGGAAAAAACAAAAAACAAAGCAAACATACAATAAATAAATAAATACATAAAAAAACTGCAAGAAATAAATTGCGAGATGTAAACTTAGAACTGTAAAAAAAATTTGATAAAAAGTAAAAATTACCTTTTTTTACTCGAAATTACGCAACTATCTGACTTGGACCCTGATCAGACAGAACGTGTTTTTCAGGCATAAACGGCACGCAAAACACCCACTGATAATAGAAAACAATTTAAAGAAGGGGCCTCTCACTGCAAAAAATGCGTTGTCTGATCGGGGCCAGAACCAATATGATCAAATAACACCAAAGAAGAAAAAAAAGCTCTTAAAAAGTTCTTGAGAAAAGATTAGAACTTAAGAATTTTCAGGAACTGCACTTAAAATGAATTCCAAGACGTTCATAAGAATGTTTGTTCCTAAGAAATTTCTTAACATTTTTTTTTATAGGCTGAACAAAGTGTTGAGTTTAAAATTACTTGTAAAAGGCATCTCAGAACAAACACACTGCACTAACTTAGCCAAGAAACATATACAGACGTTTGGGTCACTATAGTTCATTTCATCTGTGTTAATAAATGTTAATAATAGTGTGGAGACAGACAGGTCAGGGACATCACAGATACTATAAGTCAACAGCTTTACAGTGAATACAGTTACTACATCAAGCACTGATTGCATCTGGCAAATAAAGCCTTGAACTGGAGGAGTCACAGTACCTGCACCAGCTATCAACGCATTGGCCCCACAGCAGGTGAAGCAGTGCAGAAGTGATTTGGATCGGATGTTATGATTGAGAAGAGCAGCAGAACATCCGATCTTGGCCAAAGCCAACCACATCAACAAGAACATGGGCTCATTTCCTAGGAGAAGCGCAACTGTATCTCCTTAATTCCCAGCCCTATAGAACAACATTTTAATTGGCCCCGCAGCAGGTGAAGCAGTGCAGAAGTGATTTGGATCGGATGTTATGATTGAGAAGAGCAGCAGAACATCCGATCTTGGCCAAAGCCAACCACATCAACAAGAACATGGGCTCATTTCCTAGGAGAAGCGCAACTGTATCTCCTTCATGAAGATCTGCGTGCTTCAACAAACTCCTCGCGATCTTATTACTCTGTTTATCCGACTGCGCATACGAGTATGTTTGATCCTGGAACCGAATGAACGCTTTTGTGTGGGTTCTTCTGAACCGAATCCAAGAATCGATCCACTAAGGTATAGAAAGGTTTGGATTTGAGATATTTAGTCGTACGGTATATAGCTACTGCTATCCGACGCGCGTACGTGGCCTCTTTGATAAAGTAAGGATAACGGAATCTTAATGCAAATAAAAGTAAAACAGCACTTACAATAAACCAAAACATCATGAGATCCGATTCCTTTCCGCTAAACCTACTTTCTAATAGAGCGCAGCATTTAGACATAAAGTGCAGTGTAGGCGGTGCTTCGTTTTGTGGGAATGGACACAGACTGGAGCAGATAGTTATGAAATGAAGCGATATTGACAAATAGAAAACATTTGAACAGTTTGCGACGCTATAAACTACAACACTGTAAACACGTAGACAACCCTGTTAGCATATTAGTTCTCTTTTAAAGTAATTCATAATACCATACAGTTCTAAGAAATCAACCAGCTATCAGCTTATCCTGTGTTGATTTCCCCCTCAAGTGTTGCAGAATATCCGAGGAACACAAACAAATTATGTTCAATTCAACATTGTTCAGAAATGTCCTCGCGTTTCTTGTGAGTGGAAAGACATGAGTCAATAAATTATGGCAGGATTGTCCATGTCCCCCGTAAAATGTCAACCCTGTTACTATTATGTTGGATAGTAAATGTTTGTAGAAAGTGGATGTTTGTAGTAATTTCACAACGTGAAAGAAAACGGTTACCTTTAATACCTGCATAATTATTATATGCATTTAGTTTGAGATGTCACGTTAATAAATAGTTCATTAATACTTAAATACATTCCTTACCTAATATTTCATGATACAGTATATTGTGATATAGTGCATATAGTAAAGAATCGAGACAAAGATTTGATTCCTTCTGCGTCAACCATCATTTCATTTCAATTAATCTATAAATTATATTGTGATAATAGCAACTTTTTTCAGGAAGTTAATTATTTAAAGAAAAGCTTAAAGGGTTAGTTCACCCAAAATTATGTCATTAATTACTCACCCTCATGTTGTTCTAAACCCGTAAGACCTCCGTTCATCTTCGGAACACAAATTAAGATATTTTTGATGAAATCCGAGAGCTCTCTGACCCTCCCATAGACAGCAATGTAACTACCACGATCAAGGTCCAGAAACGTAGCAAGGAGATCGGTAAAATAATCCATGTGACATCAGGGGTTCAACTTAATTTTACGAAGCTACGAGAATACTTTTTATATGCAAAGAAAACAAAAATAACGACTTTATTCAACAATTCGTCTCCTCCGCGTCACCCCGGTGCCATTTTGGAGAATATCCGCTGAAAGTAAACAGCGTATGTTGTTCTGTGTCAGCTGCGTCACGCGGATACGTTTTCTACGTTGTTTACACTTTGATTTGAACGAAAACAACTTATCCGCGTCAGAGAGCTCTCAGAATTCATCAAAAATATCTTAAATTGTGTTCCGAAGATGAACGGAGGTCTTACGGGTTTAGAACGACATGAGGGTGAGTAATTAATGACAGAATTTTCATTTTTGGGTGAACTAACCCTTTTAAGTATTTTTTTTTGTCACATTATCCTATGTATGTTTTTCAAGGTAACAAACTTACTAAGAAATACTTAGTAAGACTCTTTTACAGTGTAATTGCTACACATTACATATACTTACTATATTAATAACAGTAAATTATGCATATTTACAAGCAACTAACCGTAAAACCAAAACCTAATTCTATAGTAAGTACATGTTAATTAATATTAGTCAATACTTATGAGTAATTACACCGTAACATGACTTCATCCTGGGAAAACAAAAATATTAGAAAGAATATTACAAGTTTAGAACCACATGAGGGTGAATAAACTATGACCCAGTTGCCCAATTTCCCTTCAAAAAGTCAACCATTTACCATGGATTTTGTTTACTAAATATTATAACAGAAAAGAGGTTATTTCTAAAATTTTTCTTTTAAAAACTAGCATTCATTTTGTGTACTGTAGTTTTAAAACATGTCTATTTCAACCCTGTTACCTTTATCCCAGCCTATATGTATCAATTTAGCTTAAAATGGCATGATATTAATGGAATAGAATGTTAATGTTAATAGAATTTATATACACTTAAAACATAATTTTCCTGATATTTCACGTGATTTATAGTATAGTGTACATATCAGTGTATATCTGATAGATACACTATTTGTCTTATACTTAAAATTTTACAAAAATACATTATTAAAAAACAACCTCATCTAACCAAAAAAGTTCACTAACCATTTCATAGAATGACCCAGGTGATGTATAACAATAATCTTTGACCTCATCTTATCTGCCAGTGGACTTTGATTGGAGGCACAGACACAGCCTGAGGAATATAACACATCCTTAAGGATAAACTGCAGTCAGGTGTCTGGAATGTAAGATAATGATAAACTGTCACTTTGTTCTTTGCGTTTTATGCAGCATGTGAAAAATGATGATGGTGAGGTTTTCTTATTCAGTATGGTAGCCTAAATATCTTGTGTGAAAGCAGATAACAGAAAAACAGTTTAATTAATGTAAAACTAGGATGCTTTATTAAGTTGAGGTAACAAATTCATGCACAGACAGTACAACTGCTAAGACGTTTGGCTCAAACAAGTACAAAAAAAAAATCATTGCACAAGCTTAACTCTTTTATATACAAAAATATGTCTGCTCAGTCACAAACAAATCCAAACTTCATTTCTGAAGCAGTGCCAATGGGCTGTCGAACCCACTGTCCTGCTGACGCACTTTCAACTCTGAAAATAAGCTCTTTGGACACTTTTTCTGGACACCATGTCCCTCAGATCCAGGGATTGGCTCTCTGTGTTTATTTGTTCTCCTGTCCGCACACACATTGGGTTTCGAGTAAGACGTAGGCTGAACAAACTCCTTGTATATCGTAACATCAGAGTTCTCGCCGATGGAGCTTCCAAAGTCCAAACCGCCGTTAACTGAGAACGGCTTTCCAGGCTCTGGATAGGAGGAGGTCAGGTGAATGTTGCTGATGAAGTTGGATCCATTACTGGTTAAACTCCAGTCACTGTGTCCGTCATCCCGAACGGGAGCTTCTTCGATCAGGAAGGACTGGATGGATGATGGATCCGTTTTACCGGACTCAAAACCCTCCATGAACATTTCCCTGCTCTGTTTTCTCAGTGTGACATTAGGGGTCCTGACAACGCTGTTAAAAACTCTATTGTGTGCAAAGTGTGTTTGCTTCTGAGTTACCTGAGCAACCGTAAAAGTGTCTTTAGATCCACATACCACTGCAGACCTGAGAGAATCTGGTTCGAGGGCTTTAGGTTTGACGCCTTTCTGTTTAGCCATCATGGATGTATAGTTGGTGTCCATTAGATTGTGGATCTGATGGATCTGTTTGTCCTTACCATCCTTGAGGGCTTCGGCTCCCAGCACTTTAGCAGGAGAACAGCTGGTTTCAATGTCCGTTTTGTCTGATCCACCTAAGCAAAAAACAATTTTCCCAGATTAAAGTGCTGTATCATGCTACAAATGAAGACTTGACTGAGTTGAGGTTTTACCTTGAGAGTTCTGGGTTCTCGAAAGCTTGCGTTTGGCCACCGGGGTCTCGAGGACTTTGGCCATGGCGGCCAGTTTGCTAGCAGCATTTATGATTTTCTTCTCAGCTCTGGAGACAGAACAAGAGCAGAATGAAGACCTATCCATAAAAACAGAGAGAAGATCATTTGTGGTTCCTCATACCCTGCGGCCTGGCCTCCGTCCTCCAGCAGCTCCTGCAGGCAGGTGAGGTAGCACCTGCGCATGCGTCTGGCTGTGTCCTGTCTTTCCCTCAGGACCTCAGTCCTGATCAGCTCTGCCGCCCGTTCCTTACTCTCCTGCAGGTAACGCAGCATGTCACCTACAAACACATCAACAAATCTGAAGTTCAATATTTTTTATTTTACTTCATTTCAGTCAACTTTGATTTCAAGTAACATTTGTTTTATGATTTTAGGTTTTATAAAAAAACACCACCACTCACCTCTGATTTTCTCCACGGCTTTCATGTATTGCTCGTTCATTTCCTCAAGACCTGCTTGAAGATTCTGCTGGCTGATTGAACCGCTGAAACATTGATGAAGACCGTTAGTGTTGCTCTAAGACCCGCTGCACTCGTAGTCAATGATGTGCTCTTATGAAAGAAATCAAACAAACTTAAAAGCGTTTACAAACCCTGAAAGTGCATCAGCATTTGAGGTTTGTTTCAGTTCCTCAAGGGCTTTGAGATGACCCTGCTGCTCCTTCTGCAGGGCTGCCTCATGCTCATCTGATTCAACATAAAAAAGAAAAGATTAAAAATTGCTGTTCCACATGGTTTGCTTCTTACAGGGTTCCATTTTGTGCTAACCGATAATAATGTGATACTAAACTGATAATAAACTGATAATCAAATAAATCAATTAATGAACTGAGAAATCAAATCCAATAAAAAAAATCTATTATTCAGAAGAAAAAAAAAATCTAAACATGTAGATAGCATTCAAGCTTGTTTCTGCCACTGAATAAAAAAAATAAAGAAGGTAATTGTGACTTTTTATCTCACAACTTTTTTCCTCAGAAATGCGTGATATAAAGATTTTTTTTTTTCTGAATAACGGATTTTTCAGTTCAGATTATATCTCACAAATCTCACTTAACACACAATTCTGAAAAAAAAAGTCGCAATTACCTTTTTAGTGGTGGAAACGGGCTTCCATAAGATCAATACAATAATCAAAAACGTTCACTTTGGTTAAAAAAAAAATCTTAAAACAAACGAATAAAAAGAAATTTCATTTTAGCAACAGGTAATATAACAATGGTGATAAAATGGTTTAAAAAATTAATAAATAAAATAGTATTGATACATTTTTCCCACTTATTGATACAGACAGTAGAGAGAAAACTGGAAATGATTGTGAGAAAAGACCAGTGCTGGTTTCATCAACCATTATTATTATTATTAAAATACAACATAAATATTAAAAACAAAACAAATGTAAAAAACCTAACCGAAAATTAGTAATGTTGCCTTGACAACATTAAAACTAAAGCTAAATTAAAGCTACATAAAAACTAATAAAAATGACAAAAGTACATAACAAAATGACTAAAATGAAAACTGAAAAATTAAAAAATTAAAGCTTATTCAAAATAATACGAGAATTTCTTTATAGTCTTAAAGGGTTAGTTCACCCAAAAATGAAAATTAGCCCATAAATTACTCACCCTCAAGTCATCCTAGGTGTATATGACTTTCTTCTTTCAGACGAATCCAGTCGGAGTTATATAAAAAATTGTCTTTGATCTTCCAAACTGTTTAATGGCAGTCAGCGGGTGTTGCAGTGCATCAGTCCAAAAGAAGTGAAATAAAAAGAGCCCATCCATAAAAAAAAGTGTCTCACACAGCTCCGGGGGCTTACTTTAGCAAAGGAAAACCAGTCTCCTCTTGGCTTACATCGAAATCCTCCGACATTCTTCTTTACAAATCCTCGTTTTGTACTTTAATTTGTGACCGTTGTTTTGTTTTGATCTCTCCACTGCGCTTCCGCGTTCATCACTTCTGAGCAGCGCATGCGCAAAGCCGACCTTATACGTCATCCGCCCGGAGCTGCTTCCGTTTACAACAGTGAGCGCAAGCTAGATTAAAGTTTGGAGGGCCGAAATCATTGACCAAAACAGTGATGTTACCATTGTGGAAAAACGTCAATCAATAAAACAGCTTGTAAACAATAATGTCACATTTACTGTACCTCTGGGAAGGCATTCAATGTCCATAAACTAGATAGTCTAGTAGAAAAAAGTAATTCCAGAGAGGAGCATTTTTCTAAATATATGCACTATATTAAATATACCTTATATTTTTACTGATCCTGTTGTCTTCATTATTTAATGCATGTTTGAATAAATTAGTTTTCACAATAAGGGCTGTAAATCAGTCACACCTGGAGTGTGATGTCATCAGTGTGTTTCTGCTGCATCTCTCTCCGAGCGTCTCGTACTGCTTCCTCCACGGCTCTGGCCTGGGCCATCGCAGCCTCCTGCTGCAGGGTCTTCCTCTGAGCGCTGAGCCGGACCTCCAGCTCCTCCACTGAAATCAGCTGACACGCTCCCTCACGGGTGTCTGACTGCCTGGCCTTCCTGACCTCTTCCTCAGCCTCCTGTAACCTCTGAGCCCAGGACTGCTCCAACTAGCACAAAGACCGACAAACAAGAAAGACAAATCAAAGACAGGCAAAAAGACATGCACACAGACAAAAAAAGGACAAACAGACAGATAAACAACAAAACACAGACAGATAAACAGATGAAACAAAAAATACAGGCAAAAGATATGCAGACAGATAGAGATAAAATATATAAAAGGCAAAATATAAGAGCATTTGACCTACATCTGAATGGCACAACAGTGACATTTAGTAAGATCATGCTGGCTTGGCACTGAGTAGAAAGATCATTGATGTAATTGGCCCATCATCACTAACCGTCTCCTGCTCCTGCTGCCAGCTCTTCCTGGCCGTTTCCAGCTGCTCTCTGACCCGCAGCTCAATCTCAGCCTGCGTGTCTGTCTTCCACTGGGCTTTGAGCCGAGACACGTCCTCCTGATGCTCATGCTTCAGATCAGACCTCAGTCTCTCCAGAGCAGCCTCACTCTCCTCTCGCCTCTTTAACTGAAGCAACAAGAAACATGATCAAATGTTAACAGTCTCACACGGTCAGACTTTTGACTCTCAGAAGAAAACTTGTTCCCCTAAATAGACCGCAACAACAACAACAACAACAACAACAATAATAATAAATATTAACTAAATAAATATTAATGAATTAATACAAATCAATACATTGATTAAATATTCACAAAAATCCAATAATAAAAACTAATTTTAATCACTGATCAAATAAATATTTAAATAAACATAATTTAATAAAAAAACAAATAAATAAAAAAAAACAAATAAAATCAATAAATTAATCCCCAATTAGACAGGGAGACTCTGAGCCAACAATATAAAAAATAAATAAATAAAAACAATAATTAAATTAAAAACTAATAAATAATAAATAAAACAAATTAAACAAATAAATAAAACTGCATTAAATGAATTAACATTTTAAATAAAAATTAAATAAATTAAATTAAATAAATAATTAAGTACATAATTAAATCAATCAACCAACAAATCAATCAATAAATTAATTAACTTATTTATTCAGCATCTTGCGCTTACCTCATTTTCTTTCAATCTCCTCTGTTCTTCAAGCTTGTTTTGGAGATTTTCCTCCAGCTTGTCCTTCTCTTTGCAAACAGAAATGTAGCATTCCTGCACAGCTAACACCTCTTGACTGAGATCAGCCAGCTTTGACCTGTGGATGGACCCAGAGCATACTTTATGAAGATTATGATCCTTCATGGAGTTTCCAATCGTTTTGTTTAAAGGTGGAGGTGTAGTGCAGTACTCGAGCTGTTGGATGTGTTGCTGATGCTGGCTGGAGAGCTGCTCTATGTGAGCCGTGTGCTCCTGTGCGAGCTCCTCCCGGACACGATTCACCACGTCATCCCTGAACTGCTGCTGAGTCCTCTCATCCCTGCACACACAGAGCATTTTACCTATAGATATGTATAGGTAGATGCCCTATTAGTGGCTGTTTCTATGAGCCGCTATACGTAAGCCGTCCGCCATATTGGAATGGTCAAAGCCTGTACCGTCTGCCACCCGAATGATATGCTTGTATGAATATCTATATCTGGAGTAGACTTCATCCGATGATGCTAAACTAACACAATACAACAAGACAAAGCCGTAAGCTACAACAACATTTAAAAGGTCCTATAGTTTAAAAACCTGTAATATTGAGTTAATACACATTAAAGACACAAACAAACACATTCTTATCAGTGAAAGTTGATCAATTTCTTCAGGAATTTAAATTTCGGCAGTTTTTACAACCAGAGGCTGCGCAATGTTGTGCAATCTTGATTTTTATTGTGAGTGACGACACATTGACCTTTCCAAGATGGCCGACACGTTGACATGTCTGGAGCGGTCGAATGTGACATTTACCCATACATATCTATGATTTTACTTATGAAACACCACAGAAGGTGCAGCAGAGTGGAATTAACTATCGCTTTAGCAAAATGCATGAACATGTGACCTCTCTGCTGCTTCCTGTTTCTCCTGGTCCAGCTCCTGGATCATCTCTCTCATCTTGGTGCAGAGCTCAGAGTTGGCAGCCTTCACCTTCTCTTCACTCTGCTTCAGCTCCTGATTCCTCTTCTCCAGAGCCTGCAGTTCACAATAGGGATGGTCAACTAGTATCCAACAACTAGCTAATTGAATAGTAACTTCTTTTAGAGCACTTAGATCCAGGCCAGTGTTATTTTAGTATTATATACTATTATAGTCTTTATTAATCTTTAGAATTAGCTTTTGCTTTTAATTTTATTATGTGATGTTGTCATTTTTATTAGTTGTTTATTTATAGTTTATTTATAACTTTTTAAATTTCAGGTTTAGTTTTAGTATTACTTCAACTTAAACAACAATTAAAAATGCTGTTTTGAAAACTACCTGAAATCAAATAAGTTTGTTGTCTAATATTTTTGTTTTGTTTTATTTAAGCTTTATTTCAATTAACAAAAAGTATTTTTTAACATTAGTTTTAGTTAACAATAAAAACACTGATTTTATATCATAGTCTTATATATAAATATACTTCATATCAAATATAACTGGAACTAGAAAATGTTTGTAAAGTCAAACTTTGATTTTTTTTGAAAGTGTCTGAAAATTGATAATAGTTCTAAAATTCTTGAGGTTTGGTAGTTTTTCAGGCCTTACAGACAGAGAGATTCTTGCTATGGTGTTGCTAAGCAGTTGCTAAGCTGTTCCAGTGTGGATGCTAGTGTTCTCATTGGTTGCTAGGGTATCACTAGGTGGTTGCTAGACAAACAGACAGCTATATATAGATGGATAGACAGCAAAAAAGACTCAGAAATGCTGCTTCTGATACAGGTTTCCTGGTCTGTAATGCTTGTGAAACCTGCAGATATCATGACGGCTCTGATCTGTATATTGTCTGTGTGTGACTGTCAGATGGTGATAACGATATAAAGCTTTGCTTAAAAGTATTTCTGTCCTTTTAGAATTAGCTTTTGCTTTTAATTTTATTATGTGATGTTGTCATTTTTATTAGTTGTTTATTTATAGTTTATTTATAACTTTTTAAATTTCAGGTTTAGTTTTAGTATTACTTCAACTTTAATTATTTAAGCTTTATTTCAATTAACAAAAAGTATTTTTTAACATGACACTGGTCTTTTACATTTATACACGTTTAGAGATTTTTTCGCTCTCTAAATAATAGATTTTTATTCCATTTGATTTCTTAGTTAATTTAATTGCTTTATTGTTGATTTACTTGATTATCAATTTTTAATCATTAATATTTTTTATACATTATTGTTTAGCTTTAATTTAATCTTATTTCAGATTTAGTATATTTTTTAACTTCAACTGAAGCTTATTTTATTTCAGTTAGTTGCCAAGGCAACATTTCTAATTTTAAAGATTTTTTTAAAATTATTATTTCTATTATTTATTTAGATTATTTCAGCTTTATTCCAATTAATGAAAATGATTTTTAATAGTTTTATTTTTAGTTAACAAAAACAACACTGATCAAGACACAACAGTCCTCTAACTTTGTGACTGTGAAGTTGCACTGACCTCCACTCTCTCCTGCAGCACCTGCCGCTCCTCCTGCAGTCTGATGAGGTCTTTGTGAGGGGCGGCAGTCATGTGGGATGTTTCCAGGTGTTTCTCCAAGCTGCTCTCCCTCACCTGTAGTAAACGCACAAGGTGTAAGTCTAACATCTACTACAGCACACAGGTTGATCCATCATAAGGCTGGGTATCGTTAAAAAATGTTCGATATCGATACCAATACCAATACCTTGACTTCGATACCGGTTCCTGAACGATACTTTTTTCGATACCAATTTTATGAAATCTATTTTAACAAGATTACATTATCTAAAAAAAAAAAACTTTGGTTTTATTTTTCAGCTTGTTGATGTTTATACAAGACTTGACGCGAACTGACTGTGCAGACCGATCGGTGTATTACAGTACCACGAGACCAGACTGCTCCGTGCACTTTTGAATCGCTCTCGCGGATGATCGATCTGCGCCGCGCCTCTTCTAGTCGAACACACTGGCTAGTGCTGCAGGCTTATTTGCTCACTGACGCTGATGAGATTAATCCCTTAGGTATCGAAATTTGGTACCGAACGACGAGACGTTTTTCGATACTCGATGGTATCGAGGCAATTCGGTCGGTGCCTAAAAAGTATCAAACTCGATACCCAGCCCTATCCATCAAGCACTGATATGCTGTAGGTCAGACCTTAGAGTCTCGTATAGTTCTCTCAGCCTGCTCTAGCTGCGTCTGCAGCTGCTCTGCTCTGGTCTGAGAGCGTCGCAGCTCCTCCTGCAGCTCAGAGATCTTCAGACGCTTGGTCTTCAGGTGACTCAGGCAGCGCTGCAACTCGCTCTTCAGCTCTCGCACCACTTCCTCCTTCAGCAGGGTTGAGTCTCCTTCTGCAATATGAGGTGTGCTGGAAAACAAAGTAATTATGAGAAGCTTGACATTATGAACAATATAGCAATGCAGTTTTTGGATTGTTATTGTACAATATAACATTACCTGTGGATTCGTCCATTTTTCCACTTGGACTTCTTGATCCTCAGGTCCACGTAGGACTCAGACAGCTGGTTCTCCCAGTCTCCATTAGACTCCAGGGCTCCATGTTTAATGGCAGACTCATACAGATTTATCTGCTCCTTTAGTTCAGTCATCTCTTCCTGATGAGAGAAGAAACACATGTGCTCTGTTTGTAGCCGGATTGTGGACAGCTTTAATGTTTGCCATGACTGGAAATGCTGTCAAACATTAGTGGACTGACTGACCTGCAGGGCTTTGTTGATGTCTTCACTGATAGAGCGGGCAGACTGAGCCTGCTGGAGCTTCATCTGTAACTGACTCATCTCTTGAACAGAGCCTGCAGAGAATAAAAGAAGCTTTGATAAAGATGTAACAGGCATGAGGGAGACAAATCTTCAATTAATTCATTAAAGGGGACATTGAAAACATTAAATAAGTTGACTTTTTGCTGCATTAACTGCACCTCGTATATTGACATATATTGATAATGGTACAAAAAGTACCATTAGTAAATAATAAAAAAATAGATACTACAGTTACTGTTCATTTTTATATTTCACTATAATGTCTCATTTTAAAATATAAAAATTACAATAAAATATTATCCTTGATTTTTATTAAACAACAACAAAATATTTCAAATATTTCACATTTTTAAGGGGAACGTAAGAGGTAAAAATAATAAATAAATAATTAGATAAAATTCTTATTTCCATATTTTTATCATTTTAAAATGCATAAAAAACAACTGTAATAGAATATTATACTTGTTATAATATGGGGAACATAAGTAAAAAAAATAAATAATAAAATGAAATCAATAAAAAAACAAAACAAAGAAAAACAGTTAGATAAGTGTGTTTATTTTTATATTTTAATTATAATTTTATGATATAAAAATTATTGTAATACAGTATTATACTTCATTATTATTATTATTAAATAACAACAACAACGATAATAATAATAATAATTATTATTATTACTATTATTATTATTATTATTATATCCTTTATGGAAAGTCCACTTCAATAAACACTTTTTACAAATATACACAAGATGTGCCCAGGATTTTATGTCATTCTAAGACGATTTAACACAACCCAAGAGCACCTTCTGGTAACTTAAGTGAATGTGAAGGCCCCAGATTCTGCGTACTTGAGTCACTGTAGTTCAGCTGAAATGCTTAAACTGTTATAACTGCAAGAGAAAAAGATTACTGGCCCATTCGATTACCCATGAGGCTCGAGCAATCACAAGAGTAAAAACAAACAGAAGCACATGGGATGCCACATACCAGTGTGGAGCAGTTTGGCACACTGCTGCTGGCTCTCCTCCAGGCGCTGTGTGAGGGTGTTGATGACGGAGGCTCTGTCCACCTGATCCTCTTCCCTCTGACGCTCCAGCAGCCGGACCTGATCCAGCAGCCGCTGGCCCGCCTCGACCTGACAAACACACACAACACAGTTGAAACTGCAGGCCTGCACTGCCCTCTGTTGTAAGGGGTTAAGCCGCACTAAGGATTAATTCATATCTACATGTATCTGACCTGCTCGTTTAGACTTTGTGATTGTGCGTCTAGTTTCTGCTGAAGGGTGAGCAGTTTGGCTTCATACTGCTCCCGGATGGCGACCATGTCTCTATCGTGCTGCTCTCGTGCTCGTGTCAGAGTGTCTGAACGACACAGATCCATCATCTGCTGCTTCATGCTGTCCATCGCCGCCTCAGCCACACGCTGCTGCTTTAGGCTCTGTGTACGCACACATTTCCTCTCTTATAAGGAATTGCATAGTGTATCACCACTATACACTATTTCAACAAGCCCCAATACATGAGTTGACTTGGACTTGCTGTGTGACTGATGTTGAGCATGATGAATTCATGATCTCGTACCTCTTGCTCTCTGTCTGTGAGAGACTGAACCTGTTTCTCCAGAGATCTGATTCTCCCCTGCAGCTGCGCTTCTCTCTCTTTCGCCTCCTCCACTAGTGCACTGGACTCCTTCAGTGATGTGGTCAGACCGTCTTTCTCATCTAAACAAAAAGCAACACATTTTGTGGCTTAAATTCGTATTAAAACTGATGAGATCAACACTTAAAACACATTCCAGGTCACTTTTGACCCAGAGGAGTGCATACAATAGTTTTTTAGTATGGGAATCAAACTTTGCTAATGTGTTAAGACTGTCAAAATACACTTATTTTCCAGATTTTTTTTTCTGAAGAAATATAAAATAACCTTAATTGTACCACCTTTCACATTCTGGTTCAGTTTTGACTGGATCTGATCTCTCGGAAAAAAATACTTCTGTAAATATATATTTAGCATCTTTCCTGTATCTCTCACAAACTTTTAGTACTGAATTTTGTTGAAAAACATGAACATGCATGCACACAGACAACAATAGTAAACAATATCAAATTAACTGCTGCCCAAAGGGGTGCAGAGCAAAAGTTGAAGGACCAAATAGCCTAAATTTGAAAAAAGGAAAGAAGGTTTGAAAAAGAAGAAGCCCACTCTGTTGCCACCTGCAGACCACTGAAGCACGAAAATATTTCACTGAGTAACACTGATTTTGATCTGATGTTGTTTTGTTAGAAAAGGAATATGCAGGAGTTAATAATGGTAATCTTCATGTTATAATCTCTTATAAATTTCATATACTCAAATAAAATGTATCATATTGTTATTATTTTTTAATTGGTTTCGCTATAGCTCACATAATATTTTTATCATTTAAAAAAAGTGGCAAGTGTCATATTAAAATAATAATAACATTGTAACATGCAACACTTTTAAATGTTTGCTAGTTCACTCATTAAAAAAGTTTTATAGCTTTAATGTTATACAAGTTATGACTGTTTTAAAAGCTTACGTTCCCACCGGGTCAAAATTAACCCAGAATATGAAAACAGTATTCAGTTCTTATGTATTATGAGGGATCAAATAATATAGCTGATAAACTAGCAACAGAGATGTTGATGAGCTTTTAAAAAACAAAATAATAATTAATAAAAAAAAAGAAATTATGATTGGGAAAGATCTGAATTTAAAGCAGTGATAATCTGGTTAATCTGACCTTTAACAATGGCGAATTGGTGCTCCAGATATCTCATCCTCCTCCTGCAGTCCTCTAGTTTCTGTTCCAGCTCCTCGATCTGTCTGGATTGAGCTCGGTTTAAAATCTGAAGCTGCGCCAGCTGCTGACCATCTGCTGTATCTGAACAACATTCATACAACACACCTCAATCTCCTAAAATACTACTAACATAGTCATTACAAATACAATTTCCAATAAATGCTGTTCTTTTCAACTTTTTTATTCATCAAAGAATCTTGAGAGAAAAAAAAACATTTTCATGAAATGTTTCTTGAGCAGAAAATCAGCATATTAGAATGATTTCTGAAGGATCACGTGACACTGAAGACTGGAGTAATGATGTAATAGTTTTTAGAGTAAGTTATTACAATAATTACACTAAGTTTTTACTGTAATTTGATCAAATGAATGCAGCCTTGGCGAGCAAAAGAGACTTCTTTCAAAAACACTGAAAAATCTTACCAACCCCAAACTTTTGAATGGTAGTGTATAATGGTATCTTACTCTGAGTTGAGTCCAGGAAGTCTCTCTGAATCTGGTCAAAGGGGCCATTCTGACTGGTCACTTGAGGATTGAACATCTTGGGCTGGTTTGAATGTTGATGTGGGTGGTAACTAGCCTTGTAGGCATCAGTGGGTTTGTTCCTAGCTCCTCCATTATCAAAAACCTTCAACAAATGTGCAAAATTTAGAAACATGCATACAATGTTTAATAAAAGAAATAAAAATTGGCTGCAGGCATTCACCTGAAAGTGGTTTCTGATGTTGTTCTGCTCCCCATGGACTTGTGCCTCATCTCCATGGTAACCTGCCCCATGTTGAAGAGCGTTATGAGGGTACGCGTCCTCTTCCGCCCCGTCCCCAGTGGAGAAGTCAGTGCCGTGGGACTCGTCCGTGCCTGCGGATGAGTGTGCATAGTCTCCGTTCTGGTACTGGTAGTTCTGTGGGTCCCAGCTGGTGGGTAAATGTTCTGTCCCGGTCTGCAGGTGATGAGGGTGACTGTTGGTCTGAGACGTGTGACTCCTATAGCTGTAGTCCTCATGATACTCCTCATAGTGCTGCACACACATGCAAGAAAATGATTAAGTGAATACAGTCAGTGTAACTTGCTACAGTATATTAAATGCATCAAATTTTATGACCGTTTTCATCCTTTCAATGACCCTCATAAGTAATCAGGCTGTTTATGCTGCATCTGAAACTAATAAACTCACTTCCTCATGGGAAGAGGGTCTTGGATGCTCCCATTGTGGCACATTCCAGGCATGCTGCGGTCTGAAAGACAAACACATTAGGTATGTTTTATTAAATATGTATTTCAGGTAAGTGTTGCATAAGGGTGTTTTGATGTATTTTGTACCTGTTGTTGTCTTCTGGGTGGCTGCAGGTGGAGCGGTCGAGCTCAGGTGAGGAGCAGTCGGCGCTGTCATCCAGCATATCATCAGGGAGATCAGTCAGGAGCTTGTGGAGCTAAAGCAAACAACCAAACCAATCAATAAAAAATTCAAACAACCATTCAGGACGGTATTTGCCCCACCCACAAGCAGTCTTCTCCCCCACCAGACTGTTAAGGAACAGATTAGAGGTCTTCACAGGTCCACTTGGATCTGAAAACCTGAGGTCCAAATTGAGATATTAGTATGATATCATGTCAATCCATGCTCTATGACAGTGGTGCATTCAGCAAAAAAAACATGAGTGGTGGGATTTGCTTATAAATTAATATAACATAGGCTAAATGTAAATACAATCTCTATTCAGAGATACCAAGAGATGTTTGTGGTTTTTAAAAACAGCTAACAATTGATTGGTTGCCAAATATATATATAAAAAAAAAACTTTGTTTGTTATCTATTTGGGACATCAGGCATTGCACTCTGCAAGCTATTACTCTCTTTATTTTTAACCAGTGATTTTCTTCAAATAAATAAATAAAAATTAATTTAAAAAAACAAGCAAAGTAATATAACTAGGAACAAATAACTTATAAAACAGGAAGTAAATATTATAAACAAACACTTATTTTGATTAAATGCAGACAATTCAGATGGTAGTGTACAAGAGAATAGTATATCTACATACACACATTTTTCTCTTGATATATAATCAACTATTTTTATGTTATGGCTGGTTAAAGCCTACACTACCTTGTGTAAAAAAAAAGCATGATCACACTTATTATGCCTAAATTCACTTTAGCATCATCACAGCGTGCGGTATGAAATATGGATAGCTACTCATTTTAAGATGATAAAAACGTCCCTATAATGAAGGAGGGATCTGTATAAGTGTTCTATAAAGTTTAATTCTTTCACATTATCTATTGTGATTCATTTAGGTTAGCAAAGTCAATCTAAAATCCACAATTACATTTTATATTAATTTGCTGATACAGACAAAGAAAAAAAAGACATAAAGGAAAATCACTAATATTAGATCATATTCATATGTTCTGATATAATGTGCATCTTTAAAAGAAAAAAAAAATTTTTTCAGTCAACCACTAATACACAAGATCTCCAGTAAGTAGACTAAGTAAGTGTCTGACAGGCCATCTCTCGAGGAATGTAATTTTAAACATTATCATCATTTTCCTCAGAAGTTGCTCAATACAATAATGCAATATTGAGTATAATGGCAAACACACTGAAACTATGAGAAACGAAAAAAGCACATGGAAGCAACCGATTCACTGCAAGTCCCATAGCAACCATTTAAAAAAACACACCCGCCCGGTTACAGACATGCTGAACTCTCACACAAACACCAACACATGGCCCTGAGGCGTCTTAAAGGAGCCTGAGCACTCCTAATTTTCAGCAACTTCAGTATCTTTCACTTCATGATGAAACACCGCTCATGTCTCAGTATCGGAGGACAGACAGTCAAACTCACCCTCCATAACTCCCGCTGGATGAGCCGCACATCCTCCTGATACGCTCCCTCGGAAATGAAACTTTCCCGCATTTACACTCCTACGACAGCTACTGCAGGAGCTCTTGGACTCAATGACATACTGAAACACTATTGTGTGCAATGCTGGATTTCAGCAGCATGAGTCATATGAATAACTCCAGAAAAAGAAAGCAGAAAACGAGGAACTAAGCCGTCCTCATTTGTCCAGGCTGAGGTCGGGCCATTGTGGGGGTCAGAATATACGTTTCAGTTAACTGGAGCAGAAACATTCCTCCTCTGATGGACAAAAAAAAAGACAAACAGTCTGTGAAAATGACGGCGCATGTGATGCACATCAAAATCGATGGCCACCATTCACCTCGTACTATTATTTTCTGATTCTAATCCAAATGGAAAAGCGCAGTTGCCTACAATTTATCCCTCCATTCAGAGCAAACGTTTGCTCTGAGATGACCTCGTGTGAAGCTTCAGTAAAGAGCTGTGAGTGTGTAGGGCAGTGGAAACCGGCTATATGACACAGCAAACACACCTGACTGCATTGAACATGCACCAATGACAGCAGACGTTCATTCATGCAGCCGATAGCTGTAAGGTGAGTCAGAACACACGCTTCTGATAGGAGAAGCTCTGCCCTTTAAAAACAAACACTGTTACTGCATGTGACTGGAAACAGAAGAATCTTTAACTACTTATATATGAATAACCAAGAGCCTAATTCAACAAATGTGGACCGAGTAACTTGAGTACATGCACAGTAAAAGTCAGCTAGCTCACGTGGGAACAAAATCACAAGAAAAAGATTCAATCAAACTCTTGTGTTTCATACACTAGTTTTTAATGGTTACACCGGCATGTTAAACATTAACTGCAGGCCATGTCAAAGAACAGCCCTGACAGAAGGACTTGATTAGAATTACAGTTTCCAATATTAATGTCACAAAGAATACTGAAATGTCTGTTAGCAGATATACAAATTTAAAACATGAACCGGATGAAACTGTATGTACCTGCTTTAACAAAATAGACACAAAAACTGAAACAGACATACACTGAATATGAGAAGCTCACTGCAGCTGATATTGCACATTTTTCAACAGAAATGGGCACCAACTGAAACACATTCACTTAAAATAGCTTGAATGTGAGTTAATGTATCCAGCAGACATAGAATATAGTGTCATTCTTGAAGTGTAATTATACCTTAAATTTTGTTTCAACAAAACGTTATTACTTTCTCTTTATTAAGATATGTATGTAATGAAAGTGTTACGTAAACATAAATTTTGTTTATAAAAAAAATCATTAAAAAGTGTAATATAATTTTAAAAAACAATGATGTGTTTGCTTTCCGGAAACTGGATTTAAATTCGACATGAAAGGGAAATTGCAACTGTCTTAAATTTTCTTGAATGAGATTAAAAAAAAATATATAATAAATTAAGGACGATTTATTTTTAATTTTTTTACATTGGGGATTAACTGGATCGTTGTTGTTTGCTAATTGCTGCAATCATTTCATGTGAGTGACAGGTTGCTAGAAGAGAGAGGTTACACACCGGTGCAAACGTCATAGGAGAAGAGAACAGATATATGGGCAAATCATCTATAACAAACACTGCAACATTCATAAACAAAAATGAATTGTCAGTTTTGATTTCAAGGTGTACTACTGACGACATCACATTCTGTTCAGTGGCACACACAAATGTTTGTCCAATTAGATTTTACAAAGAAAAAAAATCGTCAGCATCATTACTCCAGTCTTCAGTGTCACATGATCCTTCAGAAATCATTCCAATATGCTGATTTACTATCGATGTTATTTTTTTGGAACCTGTGATACTTTTTTCAGGATTCTTTGATGAATAACAAGTTTAAAATAACAGCATTTAAGTCTTTACTGTCACTTTTTAAATCAATTTTACACATCCTTGCTGAATAAAAGTATTAATTTCTTTCAATAAAAAAAAAGAAAAAAAATATGCTGACCCCAAACTTTTGAACAGTACTGTATATTGTTACAAAAGATTTATATTTTAAGTACATTACATATATATATATATATATATATATATATATATTAACCGATGTTGACCCTTTTAAATTGTTGTCCACAGTAGAATGTATAAATTCATCTGGCTGTTTTTTGGTCCAAGTATGCAGTGCAGCAGATGACAGCGGTCAGTCTGGTGGGTGTACTTGTGTGTCAGTGCTCAGTAACTGGACAGATACCTCTTGTTCTCTGGCGTAGTCTTCCTGATCATACTCCTCTTCCTCCTGCTGGGTCTGTAAAGCTGCACTGTCAAAATTATCGATGTTATTTTTTTGGAACCTGTGATACTTTTTTCAGGATTCTTTGATGAATAAAAAGTTTAAAATAACAGCATTTAAGTCTTTACTGTCACTTTTTAAATCAATTTTACACATCCTTGCTGAATAAAAGTATTAATTTCTTTCAAAAAAAACAGAAAGAAAGAAAAAAAGTTTGCTGACCCCAAACTTTTGAACTGTAGTGTATATTGTTACAAAAGCTGCACTGTCAAAATCAATGGACATCCTGCTGATCTGAGAGGAGAAATGACACACATGAGACAGGAAATAACCAGCAATCACATCCACTTACACTACATTTAACCAGTCTACTGATAAAACCCAGAACAACCAGCTAAAACATATTTGCCAGTTCGTATGTAGCATCATCAAACATCGTTAATCCCAGATACAGATAGTTTCTAAGCAACACATTACACCTCGTTCATTTAGCACTAGTTTATAAACTTCAGTTCACAAACAAGGCTGTGTATGTGAGTTTAAATCATATCTGCTTACCTTTAAAGCTTTAATAAAGTCGCCACAGTCCTAAAGTAACACAATAATCCCAAATGAAGTGTTTCTATGAGACACATTACAGTGTCTCGGTGCCTCACAAACTCATGCCGCAACAATATTGATATAAAATGACTGCGTAGGAGTAATAAACGATCTGCAAATGTTTGTTCGTCCGTCACAGATGGTGAAACTCGATTAATGCTGACTAAAATCGATATTACAGCAAATATTTTGATGAAAGTCTCTGTCCATTGAAACATGGCGCCCTAAACAGCGGCAAAAGTCCTGGATTCTGATTGGCTGACGGGAGGAACGACGTCATGTGAACGTTATAGCCAATGGTTACGGCCTATCATGTGTCAACAGAAAGGTATTTTCTCAGCCATAGAACTGTATCAATAATAATACAATTAATAATAATAATTATTATTATTATAACAACAACATAATTTATTTGGTTTATACAAATATATGAACGATTTTATACATGTATGGTTTTCAATTAAAATGATATATTTTTATAGTAAATACATTTACATTATATATAATTATATGATTATCAATAGTAACTGGTTTGGTTATTCGGTTAGGACTTTTAGCCGTGTAGTGTATGCATGAAAAATTATTATTGTTCATTATTGTCCTTTTTTTGTCCTATATTGTATGCACTTTCAGCTCTTAGTTTAATTAGGAGAAATAATGTATGCATATGAAAACTGTACAATTTTGTGTTTTTGAGCATTGAAACATGAAATTGTTTATCACACATAAAATCATAAACCTTTACAGACATTTCTTCTAAAGCCAAAAATGCATTTTAAATTATTGCTATTTAAAAATTATAGACAATTTATGGTAATTATAAGTTTAGATGTATAATTGTTATATATTTTATTCAATATATTTACATTATATACTATTTACACACACACACACGTGTAAAAAAATAAATAAATAAATAAAAATATGTAAAAATATATATACAGTGCACAGCATAAATGAGTACACCCCCTCTGATTAAATATAAAATATGTATTTTCTTAATGATCACTAATATAATTCATAGAAAGATGGCAAAATTGAAATGTATTAAACATATTCTTAATAAAAACAGATAAATACATGCCATTAATATCTGTAAAATAAGAAACTTAGCCAATTTTTGTTTAAATGAAGGATTGCAGAATTGAGTACAACCTAGATTTAATTCAACCAAGTGTAATATTCTAGAACTTAGTTGAGGGTGTACTCATTTTTGCAACACAACATTTTTATCACTTTGATAAGAAAATGGTCTTTTCTTGAATCATTTTAACATTCTTCTTTGGTAACTGATCAAGCAGACTTGCTGGAATATTATATCTCTAAAAAACCATAACATGTATTAAGCAAAGAGTAATTGCTGAATTTGTTAAGTTTCAGAGGGGGTGTACTCATTTATGCTGTGCACTGTATATATGAAAATTATTGCTTTGTCTTTTCTGTATATTCAGCGATCATATTCTTTTAAATAGGTGAAATATTGCCCGTATATGTAATCTTGTTATTTTTACTTCATTGCTTATCACAAAATCATACACCATTACAAACACATTTTTCACTGAAGCAAATAATGTATTCTTTATTTTTGTTGTTGAAAAGTGAAACAGAAGAGCTCAGAAAGCATAACGCTTTAAACAGATCTGTAATATTTTTTTGAGAGGAATTGTAGCAATGACTGCATTTTTAATATGCATGTGCTGCGGTGCAACTGCATAAAACTCACCGACTGAGTTCTATGCAAACCAAGTAAAACATGCTGACTCTGACGAGAGACAGTTCAACAAATAAATGATTCAATTTCACACATGTCCTCACGCTTTCCATTAAAGACAAACGTAAGCCTTTTAAATGTCTGCCAAGTGCCAATATGTGCTATTAAAGAAAAATTTTGTTTTTAGATGATGCAAACATGTTCATATTAGAGACCTATAACAATTCAGTACAGCAGACATCCTGTGGGAACTTCTGCTCTGTTAAGGACATTTAAAACGGACTTAAGTGACTACAGCTGTAAAAAAATACACACTAGCCAAATTACGTTCCCCCTTCTGTGATCGGGGGAGTAAAGGCCTTGAAAGTAGTTAATGTCACTGACAGCCTCGAGTCAACCGGCTGCCTGTAGGGTCAACTTGTTTTCCAGGATCGTCAGTGTCAAATCAAGCCAGTTTGCTAACAATGGCCTGGTTGAGAGTGTTCAGCTGATTGGTCCATTTGTCCAGGGCGGTGTATCGGGCTCCGCCTCTTTTCTGGTGATCGAGCTCCAACAGCTGATTGACTTGATCAATTCTACCGTTGATTGTGCTGAAAGAAAGACATACACAAGATAAAAAAATATGCAGTGAAATAGTATATAAAAATAGATTTTTACATATTTTTTTAAAAACAAAAATCTCTATTAAAAAGCGTTAAACTTACTTGTCTAAAATACACTGCACAAGCAAGCTTTCAACATCTGCAACATCAATATTCAATTCCTAAAGAAAAACAGGGAACATTACATTAAAATGGCATAATATAATATAATAATATAATATAATACAATATAATGTTTACCTTTGAAATAAATGGTATGTGTATCCTAGTGTAAGGCTTAATCAATTTGATGAGCACTTGTGTTCTTATGTTCCGTAATAATTCTGAAAGGAAAAGCAGAGAGAAAAATTATGTACTTACTGACTCCACATTTGTTGTCTGAGATTTATGAAATAAATATGTGAATATGTGCATGAAAGTCAAAGCCACCCAAACTTACCCTCAATATGTTCTCTGATGAAGGGGTCGTCCATTATGTTGCTGTGATTCGTCTTTAGGATTTTCTCAAATTCTGTGATGTCATTGTTCTGGTAGGCACTAGAAACAAGTTAAAGGCAATTGATACCATAAAATCAATCTATTCAGACCATAAAAACTGAATTAAAAAAAGAACAGGATCAGATATGTAAGTTGTGTGCACTTACCTTACCAGGTTTGTCATTGCTAAGATTTCTGGATCATTTTTGTAAGGTTTCGCCTAGTCACAGTGATTTAGAAAAAAAATTGTTTATGTAGTTATATTACAGACCACAGCATTTTATCTTCTATGGTCAGGCCCAGATGAGATCAGCGGTTCTGTGCTTTTTTCTGCTCTTATTCTGGGAGAAAAATAAGTAGCTTTTTAAGTTTCAATTATGTACATTTAGCGAAACAGAGTACAACATGTGCCTACTGGTCAATATAAGCAAACTCAAATTCATCAAAATATTTCAGATATGAACATGCAATGGTGAAAAATTGTAGAGAATTGAGAAATGGGTTTCCAAATCTAGCTTGCTGATGGCCTTAGATCCCATGTGGGCCTGACCATGATTACCGCCTTATACCTCTTGAGAATCAAATGGGTTGATTCCAGACTTCATCAGCATGTTGGCCAAGACCAGGTACTTCAGACAAGTGGTTCGCCTGGGGCTTCCAGACTCGTCATAGTTTTTGAATGCCTCGAAAAAGTCTGTATGTGCCTTCTCGAACTCTCCCTCCCTCAGGTGCATTTTACCGCCACATTCTAAAAAGAACCAGCCACATGTCAAACAAAATGAGTGAACTTTCCAATTGTGCATAAAACAAAAACAAACCAAAACTAAACCAAACTTTCCAACTGTACACAAACAAAAACCAAAACCAACCCAACTAAAAACTGAATTCTTCTCTTTCCAGGTACTCTAACAACAACAACAACAAAAAAAACATCAAATACCAAAACAATCTTTCCAATTATACACAAACAAAAACCAAATGAAAAATAAATACTAAATCAACCCAAACCAAAGCTAAACACTAATTTCTAAGTCTTCATCTTCACAGCCACAAACAAAATTTGCAATTGTACACATAACAAAAACCAAAACAAACTTTTCAATTATCCACAAAAGAAAAACAAAAACAAAACCCAAACTAGGCTAATCCTTTATTTCCATGTCTCCCCAACTACAAACAAATTTTGCAATTGTACACCAACCAAACCAAAAACAAAAAACCAAAACAACCTCAAACCAAAATTAGACACTAATTTTCATTTTCACAACTACAAACAAGCTTTTTAATAGTACACAAAAAAACCAAACATAACTAAAACAAACTTTCCAATTATACACAAAACAAAAACCAAATCAACCCAAACCAAAAACAAAAATAAACAGTAATTTCCATGTCTTTGTCTTCATAATTTCATCTCTGGTATTAAAAATGTGTTCATTACCTCTGATGACTCCCATGATGAGCGGATGTGGGATGGCTGATTTAATGTGTAATGACTGCTCATAGAGGGCTTTGAGTTTCTTGTTGTTTTTCTGCGCCGTATACATCTGAATCTCCAAAGCGTAGATCTCCAACAGCTGAGTGCCCTTCTTCAAGTCGTCCTCTCCGTCATCCGTCTAGGGGTGTGCAATAATGACAAAAAATTATATCTCAATATTTTCTGGAATTTTGTTGATAACGATATTTAGACAATATTTTGTTGAGCATGTTATTGTGCTGGTACTCTGGCAGGTTTAGGACTGACGTGGTGATTAGTTTGCAGGAGTAATTAACTTTTCAAATTAGTTTCAATTGAATTTTTTTTTTTTTACATTTTATGGGCATTTTTAAAGACCAATTTTTTTCTAGCCTAATTAAATGTATGCATAAACTTTTTTGTCAAATTCTTACATTTAATCAATACATTTGAATAGTAAGACACTACAGGACTGTTACCAATCAAATTAAATCAGTATCAACACAGGCTGTTTAATGCAGGATGCAGGAAAAGTTGAATATTGATCATTTAAAAGATTTTGGGGAAAAAAGGGGAAATATACTTTAAATATCAACCCAAAATCGCCAGTAGGTGGCGGCAAATCATTGCATGAGTGAGTCAGAGACACAAAACAGTTCTGCTGTGGCTTTGTTTGAAACTATCTTTTCATTGACGAAATAGAGCAAAAACAGGAACTGTTGTCTAAAGTTGTCTAAAATGTAAGTCAATTAATACTAACTTCTGGTTTATTTGACTGTTTTATAAAATCAATATCACATTTGCAATCGTGCTGATATTTGGAGTAAAACGTCACTCTTTGTGTGATATTTACGGAAGAGGATTAGGGCCAAGCAATAATAAAAAAATAAAACCATCTCGAGATGAAAGTCATTATAATGCGAGATTAAACTCGTTAAATTTCAAGAAAAAAAGTCGAAATAAAATGTTGAGAATAAACCCATTAAATTACGAGAAAAAAGTCGTTGTGTTTCAAGAAAAAAGTCGTTAAATTTAGAGAAAAAAAGTTTAAATAAAATGCTGAGAATACACACACTCGTGTCATGTTCATTTTATATCGTTGGACAGTGTTAGTGGCGCAGGTCATAGAGAGTAATGTTCGTGGATGAAGCATATGTGTTCGACTAGAGTTCGAATCCGCCTTTTGCCGAACTCGCTCTTCTTCCTTTTTTCATCACACATTACATCAGAAAAGTGGAAATCAATTGACTAACGAGTGTTTAATAATGATGTATTAATTGGGTAGGTTTAGGTGTAGGTAGGCTATAGGGAGGGCTTTGTACCAATAAGGCAGCGTCTATTTAATTTTAATAAAGAAAATCATTTACAGCCTATGTTATTATTGCATCCTGTTAATGTACAACAATACTGAGGTGCAAACAGTATCTGTCACTATTTATAAGTATAAATAGCATCTAATTACTATTTACACTTATTGCAAAGATCTGCTACTTTTGCATAGCGTAAATAGAATTGCTATATTCACTTAGTGTAAATAGCACATCTCTAAAACTGCTGCTGTAGTCACTTAGTGTAAACAGAATATATCACTATTTTCACTTAGTGTAATAGCATCCGATGTGATATGTGATGAAAAAAGGAAGAAGAGCGAGTTCGGCAAAAGGCGGATTCGAACTCTAGTCAAGTTGACCGCATATGCTTCATCTGTGAGCGTTACTCTCTACGACCTGCGCCACTAACACTGTCCAACGAGATAAGATGAACATGACACGAGTGTCTTTTATTCTAAACATTTTATTTTGACATTTTTCTTGAAATTTAACGAGTTTAATCTCGCATTATAATGACTTTAATCTCGAGATGGCTTCTTTTCTTTTTTTTATTATTGCTTGGCCCCTAATCCTCTTCCGTAGATATTAAATATATCAGATGATATAAATATAAAAGACATAACACCCATATGCCCACTCATCTCGTATGTCGGTGGAATTATAAATGTATTTTAACAGAGTAAATCACACAGTGAAAGCGTGAACTCTAAATGTGCTCGTGCAGTAGTCTAACCTACATCTCAGTGTATGCTTGCACTCTCTGGCTGTATTTTTGTTTGGTTTTTGCCATATTACTCAATGTCAAATATCGTTTAAACAACAATTACGATATTATCGTAGACGATACATATCGCACAGCCCTACACCCGTCTAATTAAGAGCATCAAATCAGATTCAGAGCAACACAGAAGATATTTGAAGCAGGTTTTCTTATTTTTACTCTACCTGACATGACTGATGCAACTGCCTGAGAATTTTCTGGAGCTTTCCAAACTCTTCTCTTTCCAGGTACAACTTTCCCAGCTACAAGAAACAGAGAAGCAGAAGTTAGCAATATTCCTGAATTAAATACAGACGCTTTCTGAGGTTTAGACCAATATTAATGTAAATTGCATTAACAGAATTATTATCATAGTATTGTGCATATTATTGTTGCTGATACATAAGTGTGCGGTTAACATCTGCTATATAAAACAGATCATCTAAATACAGAATGCATTGCTAGAGCACAAACCTTGGTGTTAGTTTTAAACCAAAGTCTGTCGTTTTTGGCATCTTTTAATGCTTCCAGTGTGGTCTCATAAAACTCTTGTAGCAAGTCCATCTGGAAACAAACATGAAAGGATAAATATTATTTTATTATCTTTACTAGCATAATAACCTTTAATTAACATGACTTTATTATTATTTTATCATCACAAATATATTACTGAATTCAGAAAGCAGTTTAAAATGCATTAAATACCTGTTTGGAGGTTGAGATATAATCTAGAATAGAGTTGATGGATTTCTCAGAGTAATTTCTGGTGACAGCACTCCTAATATATGTCAAAAGCTGTTTATACCGGTTCATCATTTCTGGAAAATTTGTCTGTAAAAATAAGAACATAAAAAAAACAACATTAAAACAAATCTGATTTTATAGTTCATTATTAACATAATAATCTTTTTATTATTATTGTTCAGAAATTTTAGAAAACACATGAAAATAAGAAAACAATTTATAAATATTATTATATATTACAATATTATATATATATTGATTACACCATTTCAAAGTCACACACAGCACAGATCCTGACACTGAAAGACCTTCGGTTCTGTCTAACCTTCTGAAAGCTGCTCAGGGCTGCTTTAGGATCATCTTCTTTCAGGGCTTTGGAGTTGTAGTACTGATTCTCCAAATCGACATTGGGTTCAGAGTTGCTGTCCTCGGAATATTCCTGAAGTGAAAGCAAACAAATAATTGACACTTTCAGCACGGTATGTATAAACTCATAAGTAACTGCACTGAGAAACGCCTTGAAAGATACTGTACAGCTTAATGGTGAATGATTATGACAACTGCATGACAATAATTATGGTATGATTATTTATAGCTGTAAAACTTAAGTACGTAATAATCTATTTAACAGCAAACTGAAATAAGATATCATGCAGTTTAAATCTAGCAACTCATTAGCCATAATTTAGTCAACTTCACGTGAGTCTGCAAGTTAACAAAACATACATAAGAGCTTCTATATATGAGCTTTGAGCTAAAACTACTTAAAATAAAGAAGGCTGTCCTATTCCTTGACTTAATTTTGTGCAGTATTAGCAAACTAGCCACCTGCTAAACAACTCATTTGCGTAATTACGCGCCTATAAACACGCTAAACATTTTGAAATTTCACTATATTGGCTTCGCATTACATTACATGCATTTACAGTTGCGTTTATTTTAAACAGTCTTACCAAGTCATAATCCTCTTCATCATCGCACATGAAATCATCTTCCATGTCAGACATTTTGACCGGAGAGAGAGACTCTTTCCCACAATGCTCCGCGAGAAACGCGTTTTGACGTCACACCGCGCCTTCTGTAAAAGGTGCGCGCGCGCAGTTCCGATTCTGTCCGAGTGCTTCCGAATCCAGCCGAACGGCTTTGCGGGATTCGTGTCAGTTTCTTCCGTATTGTTAGACTCATGATTCCGGGTATGACAGTCAGCTGACCGCACTTGTACAGTGTCAAGTCCACTCGTGCATAGTGTATTTACTGCAAAACAAAGATTAAAAACCTCACAATGGCCACAATTCCATCGAAAATCAAGGTGCAGCTCAATGGAAAAGAAAGGTAAGTTGCGACTGTTCGGAAAGCTTCGGGCAGCTCTTCGGATAACTTCGACTGCGTATGAATGGAATCTGTTCGCTCGTCACGTCGATCTACACCCTGCTTATTTAGTTTTAACTTTGTTGTGTTTTTTCTTTAGGCATACACTTAAAACTGATTTCCTCCTTCTTTCTGTTAGGTTGCAGAAACTGAAAGAGGCTTTTCATGAAAAATATGGACAAATGCCTGTCTTCTACGCTTGTGCTCCAGGGAGGGTGAATTTGATTGGTGGGTTGCAAACAGCGTGAGTGTGTAAACATTAAAAAAATACCATCAGCATTGCATTTTATATTACATCTTATCATTTTCAGGTGAGCATATTGATTATTGTGGCTATGCTGTCCTGCCAATGGCAATAGAGCAGAATATTCTTGCTGCAGTTTCTGTCAGCGACTCCAAAACAATCCAGCTGGCCAACACTGACCCCAAATACAAGTGAGTAACAATGTTCTTCATTACTGAAATTTGTTTAAAAAAATTTAATTGGTCAAATTTAGTCGACAAATTCATTCATTCACTTACTTGCTTACTCATTATTAATTTATTTACTTGCTTACTTATTATTTATTTATTTACTTGCTTATTTTATGTAAGCTTATTTCTGCCATGGAATAAATAAATAAATATTATATTAATATATATATATATAATACTTTTCTCTCCAGAATTGCATGTTTATAACTCACAATTGTGAGTTATTAATTGCAATATGTAAATTCTGAATTGTGAGTTTATAGTTTGCCACTGTGAGATATAAACTTGCAATCCTGAGGGGGAAAAAATATACTTTTTATATTTTTATTCTGTGGTGGAAATAAGCTTCCATATACTTAAGTACTAACTTTATGAACGCTTATTTCTACCACAGATATTAATATATATATATAATACTTTTCTCTCCAGAATTGCATGTTTATAACTCACAATTGTGAGTTATTAATTGCAATATGTAAATTCTGAATTGTGAGTTTATAGTTTGCCACTGTGAGATATAAACTTGCAATCCTGAGGGGGAAAAAATATACTTTTTATATTTTTATTCTGTGGTGGAAATAAGCTTCCATATACTTAAGTACTAACTTTATGAACGCTTATTTCTACCACAGAATAAAATATATTAAAAAAGTAATCGCTTCTTTATATATCTCGCAATTGTGAGTTATGAACGTGAAATTCACTTTTTTTCTAAGAATTGCTCGTTTATATTTTGCAATTCAATTGCAAGTTATTAATTGTGAGATATAAACTCAGAATTCTGTTAATATATATATTAGTGCTGTCAAATGATTAATCGTGATTAATCGCATACAAAATAAAAGTTTTTGTTTGCATATATGTGTGTGTTCTGTGTATATTTATTATGTATACATAAATACACACACATACAGTATATATATAGAAAATATTTACATGTATTTACATGTCTATATTTATATTCATATAATTTATATTATAAATAAATATATTTAATTTATAAACATAACCTACTTTTCTGAAATATATACATGCATGTATATACACACACATACATATATTATGTAAACAAAAACTTTTATTTTGGATGCGATTAATCGTGATTAATCGTTTGACAGCTCTAATATATATATATATTCTGTGGTGGAAATAAGCTTCCATATATTTTATGCTTTATAGATGCTTATTTCTGCCACAGTATTAATATTACCTTTTTATTTTAAAATTCAGATTAGTTTTCCTCAGAATTCTCAGCTTATATCTCACATTTCTAAGTTATAAATTCGCAATTTATACTTTTTTGAGTTATGAGTTATTAATTGTGAGGTAGAAAGTCACAATTGCCAGAAAAAAAGTCTAAATTGTGAGATTACATTTTTTTTTATTTTATTTTTTTTATTCCTAGGTGGGAATAAGATTCCATATACTTACTTGCGTAAATACTCATTTATTAATTTATTCATTCATTCATTTCAGGAATTTCACTGTGTCTGTTGATGGCATCTCCATTGACAGAGAGAATCCTCAATGGCACTATTACTTCCTTTGTGGAGTGAGAGGAATCCAGGTGAGATGATTAATATGACTTATAATGCATGTTTGCTTTATTGCATTACAATTGCAGTGATTTGACCCTTGACCTTATGTATGCAGGAGCACCTGAGCTTGTCTTCATTGGCAGGGATGTGCTGTGTGGTAGACGGGACTATCCCGGCCAGCTCAGGTCTTTCCAGCTCCAGTGCCCTGGTGTGCTGTGCCGGTCTGGTCACGATGGAGGCCAATCAGAAGTCTCTGTCTAAGGTCGTCTTTACTGTAAATCCTCTAAGATGCATTAGATAGAACTGCTGCTTATCATGGATGTGATTTGATGTAATTTCAGGTGACTCTTGCGGAGACGTGTGCCAAATGTGAGCGTTATATTGGCACTGAGGGGGGAGGGATGGATCAGTCCATTTCTTTCCTGGCGGAGGAGGGAACAGTAAGTCATGTGTTTTATATTTCTTCTATCAGTATATGTGGCATTTTATTGATTTTTGGTATAAGGGTCAATAGCATGATGCTCTTTTTTGCATCATGCATACAATGACTGAATAAAATTTTTTATGATAATCATGTTAAAAAATATTAAATATATCTAAAATGAAATTCATTTGGATTTTTGGGGGGCATGATCAAGTTGTCAGGGTGTTACTATTTGATATTATAAGACCAAATGCCTCATTAAAATGATGAAGTTCTTGAAAATAAAATTTTTCTAAATATTCTTTGGGAAAAAAAGCAGTTTTGTTAAAATATTATAAATATTAGGGAAAAAAAAATTGTCAACCAAATCAAAGTCATGTGGTGCAACCAAAGTGCAGCCAAAAAAAAGAGTGATATCATAGAAAAGATCCATGCAGACCCTCATTACTCTGTCAAGGTCAGTAAGTCTCTTAAAATTACATTTTAATTTAATTTGTTTTTATGGCATGGTAATGTTAATTGTGTCGTATGGAACAACCTACCAAAAAACTCAAACCAAAAAAACTAAAAAATAATTCATGACATTTGTCTAAAAATGTCTTTTTGCCTTGAAAAACATATTTCATTTTTTAAAATAATAATAAAAAAAAAAAAATCTATTTAAGGTGTTATTTTTGGTTATACCACATGACGCATGACATTTCAAAATGGTAGAAAAGTTCTTTTAAAACCATGTAAATCCAACACAAATACAAAGAGTAAGTTTCTAATGCACATGTGTTTTTTTTTAGAAAGCTTTTTTTCTTTTCTTTATCTCGGGACTCTTATTTAATACCGTGCATCTACAAATATATTTTAAAGGGTGATTTAGCTTGATTTTTCCTTTTTTTCACTCTCTCTCTCTCTTATTCTTTTTTTTCATTCCTCAAGGCAAAGCTGATCGAGTTTAATCCGCTGCGAGCCACAGACGTGAGGCTGCCTGATGGAACAGTAAGTCATGTGTTTTATATTTCTTCTATCAGTATATGTGGCATTTTATTGATTTTTGGTATAAGGGTCAATAGCATGATGCTCCTTTTTGCATCATGCATACAATGACTGCATACAATTTTTTATGATAATCATGTTAAAAAAATATTAAATATATCTAAAATGAAATTCATTTGGATTTTTTGGGGGCATGATCAAGTTGTCAGGGTGTTACTATTTTGATATTATAAGACCAAATGCCTCATTAAAATGATGAAGTTCTTGAAAATAAAATTTTATTAAGTCGTTTGGTGTAAGTATTGGAAAATAATATTTTTCAAAATATTCTTTGGGGGAAAAAAGCAGTTTTGTTAAAATATTATAAATATTAGAAAAAAAAATTGTCAACCAAATCAAAGTCATGTGGTGCAACCAAAGTGCAGCCAAAAAAAAGAGTGATATCATAGAAAAGATCCATGCAGACCCTCATTACTCTGTCAAGGTCAGTAAGTCTCTTAAAATTACATTTGAATTTAATTTGTTTTTATGGCATGGTAATGTTAATTATGTAATTTGGAACAACCTACCAAAAAACTTGACATTTTTGAATAAATAATTTATGCCATTTGTCTAAAAATGACTTTTTGCCTTGAAAAACATATTTCATTTTTTTAAATAATAATTAAAATGTGTGCACACATCTATTTAAGGTGTTATTTTTGGTTATACCACATGACGCATGACATTTCAAAATGGTAGAAAAGTTTTTTTAAAACCATGTAAAGCCAACACGAATACAAATAGTACATTTCTAATGCACGTGTTTTAAACTAGTAAGTTTTTTTTCTTTTCTTTAGATGCATCAAGAATGATAGTTTAGTCTTTTTAATCTAAGCATTTTATTGGCAGTTCACCAAAAATGTACACAAAAGTTTGGGGTTGACTAGATTTTTAAATGTTTTTTGAAAGAAGCCTCTAATGCTCAAAATGTCTGCATTTATTTATTATTATGTATTATTAATTTATAATACTGGGGAATATTATTACAATTTATTTATTGTAATATATTTTAAAATGTATTTTATTCCTGTGATGCAAAGCTGAATTTTCAGCATCATTACTCCGTTATTCAGTGTCACGTGATCCTTCAGAAATCATAATAATATGCTGATTTGCTGCTCAAGAAACATTTATTATTATCAATGTTGAAAACAGTTGCTGCTTGATATTTTTGTGGAAACTGATAAATAATAACAATCTTCAGTGCTTGGCCACTAATAATTATCTGGTAACACACCAGGAGCTCATGCACAAATTTCCCAAAAGTTGTTCTCATATCCATGTAAGTTTCAATTTCAGATATTTTGGAATAGTATATTCATGGTTAAATATCGTAATCAGATGCTGGCTAAGGCGCGCGGCCTGGACTGGAGTCGTCTGCTGAAGCTGGGAGATGTGCAGAAGGAGCTGCAGGTGAGTCTGGAGCAGATGCTGGAGCTGGTGGAGGAGGCGCTGCACCCTGAGCCCTACAGCAGAGACGAGATCTGCAAGACTCTGGGCATCAGCGCCGAACAGCTGTGTGGAAACATCCTCAGCGCCAACACACAGCATGGTGAGAGAGCGGTCACTGACAAGAGGAAATCAAAATCAACACTACAGTACTTACTTGAAAAATTCACATTCCTCGTCTTAGTGGGAAAATGATCTTACATTTTCGTGAGGAGAAAAAGTATATTATTTTATATTAGCTATAAGGTTCTATTTGTAAACATTAGTCAACTGTATTAGTTAACGTGAGCAAGTAATGAAAAATACTTCAATAATGCATTAACAGGTTAACAGGCGAAGTGTGACTAATTTATTATATATTATTGACATTGACAAATTGATATTTTATACTTGCAAACTCTTCCATTTTTCTGCCTCAGCGACTGATTTTAAATTGTACCAGCGTGCCAGGCACGTGTACGGCGAGGCTGCACGCGTCCTGCAGTTTAAGGCCGCGTGCGACTCTTCCCCTGCCAACGCCGTCGCTCAGCTAGGCGACCTGATGAACCGAAGCCACGCCAGCTGCAGAGACTTGTACGAGTGCAGCTGCCCTGAGCTGGACCAGCTGGTGGACATATGTCTGTGAGTGAGACTGGCTGCTTTTTTTCTGTTCACGTACACTACTGGTCAAAAGTTTGGAATAATTAAGACTTTTTAATGTTCTGAAAGAAGTCTCTTATGCTCACCAAGGCTGCATTTATTTGATCAAAAATATAGTAAAAACAGTAATGTTGTGAAATATTTTGACAATTTAAAAGAACTGTTTGAATATATTGTAAAATGTAATTTATTTCTGTGATCAAAGCTGAATTTTCAGCATCATTACTCCAGTCTTCAGTGTCACATGATCCTTCAGAAATCATTCTGATATGCTGATTTATTGCTCAAGAAAGTGATTATTATCACTGTTGAAAATAGTTATCGCTGCTTAATATTTTTGTGGAAACCGTGATACACTACCATTCAAAACTTAGTAAGAAAAAGATATACTTTTATTCAGCAAGGACACATTAAATTGGTCAAAAGTGAAAGTAAAAACATTTATAATATTGCAAAAAAAAAAAATATAGATAGATAATAGATAGTTTTTTTGGTGCTGTTCTTTTGAACTTTCTGTTCTAAAAAAAAAATCTGGAAAAAATGTATCATGGTTTCCAAAAATGTTTCTTGAGCAGCAAATCAACATATCAGAATGATTTCTGAAGGATCATGTGACACTGGTCGCGTCTATGAGCACATGTGGCAAACTAATCGAAATTGATTGAATTGGCGTTTTAGCAGCATCTTCCTCCTCCCTTCACAGGCAGGCGGGTGCCGTGGGGTCGAGGTTAACCGGAGCTGGATGGGGAGGTTGCACAGTTTCCATGGTACCCAGGGAACGAATAGATTCCTTTCTCCAGACTGTGAGAGAACATTATTACGTGCCTGATGCCCGTCGATCCGCTCTGGAAAAGCAGAGTTTATTCGTGACAAGGCCGGGAGGAGGGGCGGCAATTTTCATAGAGGAATGAATAGTAGCGGGGCAATTTTCTCTCGTTTTAGCAACACAAACGAGCCCGTGGCCTCAGAAGCAGGAGGTGGTATGTATAATGGCAGATATGATGAAAGGGAAACAGACTGTATAAAGTCTGAATGGGCATTTTTACTCTGTATGTCTTAAAAGAATGAAGAAATCAGCACTCTGATCATTTTATACCCAATTTAAGGTTGTCAGGGCATTAGAGAAAGTGCCAAGAATTCCTACTTTGAGGTACTTTCTGAAAGCGTTGAAGGTCAATATTCAACTTAATGTGATTCTACTTTTTATAATTAATAATAAACATGTCGTTAGTGCTTTTTACTATGGTAATCATCACTATTACTATTGCTCATACTTGTCTTTAGGGATTCAATCTACCTTGGAAGTATTACAAGTAAACTGAAGTATTGCTCTTAAGTTGCGGTCACATTTTCCGTTGTTTGGTGAATTTTCGTGGGCTAAATCCAGTCATTTCAATCTACGCAAGCAGGAATTTCATGTGAGGCCACAAGATTTCCCCATGCAGATTTTGCAAAGGGTAAAAAAAGTGCTATATGAAACATGAATGCAAACATTCCTTTTTTAAAATAAATTAAACAATGGCCATTTAATGCATATCATATAAAAATGACAATGACTTGTATAAAAATCCATGCATTTAAATAAAAACAATAAACAATCTGCATGGTCTTTGTTGACAAAATAGCACAGCAGAAAAATCTTATACATTCGTCATATGAATATTTAACATAACATTAAATTAACTGTACATTCATAAACTGGAAATGTTGCACGACCCCCTTCGTCAAATAAATGATTTAAAAAACAATATGATCTACATTACTGTAGTCAATGAGGGCAATGAACAGCCTGAAAAAAGTGATACAATCAAAGACAAAAATCAATGGCAACACATTCAACTCGACAAACAGAACTGAAAGTACTTCCTTTAATGAAAGGAAAACAAAAAGGCACAAAAATTCCTTCTGTAAAGAAATGCCCACTTTATAGACCTTTGTATTAGATGCATGTGGAATTCTAGAAGTTTAAACATGTAAATGCTTCAGTCTATCGCTTGATGGAAGGCACGACTTTGCGTAAAAACTCTATTCTCAGTTCGCTGAGCTGCATGCAAAAGCACTAACTACGGTTTGAATTATGGATAAGTGTGGAATGTTTTTACACTTTCTTTAATGTTTTTCTTTTTTAAAAAGAGGTACATTTAAAATAAAATGTTAAAATGGCTTTTAAAACCCATTTAATTGGTGAAAAAGCTAGAGCTTGCTTCATACCGCCAACATAAGACTTACAGCCAATGCATGTTCTCTGCAGCATCGATATCAGACATTCCTAATTGTTACTACACATCCAGTAGCTTGATGCATTCGGGTGCAGTATAGACATCTGTGGTGAAACTTCCAGGTCTTTAAACATATCCATATTTAATATGCAATGCATTTATAATCCTAAACCACTGTAGATGGCTGTATCAGTGTTTATAACAAAATAAGAGGTATTATTTCCCACACATGTACATATTTGCTTCCTTATACTTTATTAGTCTCATTAGAACGATGTCATTTGTTGAACGTAAACTCGGGTTTAATTGAGTGTTTCTGATGCCTGAAACATTTGCATATGGAAGCCTGTTTCCGCAACAGGATAAAAAAATAAATAAACAGGTACATGCGACTTTTGATCTCACAATTCTGATATTTTTTCGCCAGGACAAAAAAAATAATAGAATTATCAGTTGTAAGCTCAGAAATCCGTGGAAAAAAGTCAGAATTGCGAGAAAAAAATGCAAGATATATACTTCTATCTTATATAAAGATATAAAGTTTATATCTCACAATTCTGACTTTTTTCTCAGAATTCTAGGTTTACATTTCGCAATTCAGTTTTTTTTTTGTCACCACGGAATTAAAAGTAAAAAAGTTCTTCAGAGAATTGTTAAAAGTTCTTCAGAGAATTGTGAGTCTGTATCTCACAACTATGAGTTAACATCTTGCAATTCTGACTTTTTTCTCATAAATGTGAGAAAAGACCGGATTGTGAAATATAAACTCAAAATTGAGAGGAATCGTGAGATAAAAAGTCACAATTACCTTTTTTATTTTGTTATCCTGTGTTGAAACAAGCTTTCATGCAAATGCCTAAAAGCAAGTTCCAAAATCTCGAAATACAAAATCAGTGCCTTTTCTGAGAAAACATTGAACTAGAATTTGTGCCAGAAGAGGTGAACATTGAAAATGAAATCAATGAGGTTCATTTTCAAATTCAAATGGATGCCCTGTGAGACGGGAGCAGATTTGCATGAGAAAATGAGTGTTATCTGTGCTTCATTGTGCTGGCTCTTTGGAGTCTCCTGTGCATGTCTAGCCCTCCCATAGTCTAGTCGTGCTCACGGGCATCTCTGGGAGCCCAGAGTGTGTCTGCTCACAATCTATGATCATTTTCTCACATTAAAGACAGGCGCTAATTCCTCTTCCTTCTGTAAAGGAAGAAAAAAACGCTCCTTTATCTGGCCTCCAAGTCTTCCACCGTTACCTCTTGATTTTGGTCACTTTCCCTCCTAAATCCAGTGCTGTTTGTCTCTGTCTGGTCTCTGGTTGTGTCGTTCACCGAGCGGGTGCCGGTGGGGCCTCTTGCAGGCGAGGATAGTGGGTATGTGGAAGTGGAGGATGTGGGTACCTTCATGTTCTTGCCGGAGGTGATGAGTTCTCCGTATCCCTGCTGGTGGGCGAAAGCGTACGCCGAGCGACGAGAACTCGTCCTGCGGACTCTCCTGAGGTTCTGCTCTTGAGGACCCTGCCTCCTAGTGGCCTGCTGAAGTAAACGCACCTAGGGGAGAGGAAACGGTTTTGACATCTCATTATGAGGTATTCATGGAGTAAAAGGGCCTATTATTCATTTAATAATTCCCACTTTATAAGGCATGTGTTTATGTGGTAACCTTGTCAGTCTGTGTTGGATAGAGGTCAGCCTTGATGAATCGGACAGCCACCATGGGCATTATACACACGACTGTGGTGAGGAGGATGACCAGCCACACAATCTTCTGATTCAGAGAGTTACGTGCAGTACCTACAGTCAAACACAACATGTTTAACTTCAGTAATATCAATGGCCTAGAAAAAACTGCTCATTAATAGAGAGCTATAGAGAGCCTATATACCAATTTATATTCTTACCTATGAAAGGAAACTGGTTTGGGAATATGGTAAAAATGCCATCGCTGTGCATTGCAAAAAGGATTGCAAAGTAAACAGCTAGACTTCCCCAGATAAAGAAATGGTTCACAGCGGTCCAGTAGTTGGTGTCAAGCCCAATCTGCAACAAAATTCAATATTCTTAAAGGGGTCATATGATGCTATTTTAAAGATCATTATTTGGTGTAACAGAATATGTTGACATGCTTTAATGTTCAAAAAACACATTATTTTTCAAATACTGTACATTATTGTAGGCCCTCTATCATATGACCCCTTTAACATTAATTTATTTTTAGCTAATGATATATACAAACCATTAATATTATTTACATTATAATATTTTTATTTGAATTAAGTACATTTTCCATTTTTTGCTGCATTTCAGTAATGAGAATGAGATTTTTGCATTTTTTTGCATTATTTTTTTCCAAATTATTTAAAAAAATCTTTATTATACAATAATTATAGCACCTTATACAAAATATTTATACATTTTTATTTCTTAAATTATATTTCTTTAATGATATATAGATTGCAATGTCAAGTTAAACAGTAATAACCACTTTATGTAACCTTTTTGTACTGTACATTGTCATTTATTTCCAAAGTATTTTAATGGACTGAGTAAACATGCACAGTTGTTAAATTGCCTCACCTGAACACTGGACACAATGACCAAAGAGGTTGCTATGGTTACCGCAAAAGCCTGTTGATCAGAGATGTGGGCGCCGTCATCCCGCACAGCGGTCATGAAGGCTCCGTATGGGATGAAGAAGAGGATAAATGAAATACAGACCCCCTGCAGCGTACAGGTGAAGAACTTTCTCTTGTTAAAGAGCTGGTTTATCTGCCCAGGTCTGTACAAGTTTGGATAGCGTAAACTGTACTGCTCATTCACATCCTGCAAAATCAACAATCTTTATGTTAAAAGGCAAAGATTGTAATTGTGTTTGGTGCAGCTACACAGTGCAGCTTTCAAGACCAAATATTGACACTAGGGTTTTGTTCAAATTAGATGAAAACGTTCAAAAAGAACTGATACACACACTGAAAACATTTCAATAAGTTTTATATTTGAAAATCAACAAACAACAAATACAATTAGCAGCTATATGCACTTTTTTAAGCATAAACATTAAATTAACATTAACATGAAGCCCTAATAATAATAATAATAATAATAAATCACTTATATATATATATACACA